TGCCATCTTGCATATCTATGTCTACTTTTTTTCATACAGACACCAACAAAACTCGATCTTGAGTACAGTCAGATTGGAGACGAAGGAGTACATCATTTGACTGCTGTATTACGAAATAATACGGTAACTCTTATTCTCTGTTCATTTGTCTCATATTTTTATCTGAAATTTTTAACATAGACACTCACTGAACTCGAGCTTCAGCACAATGAAATCAGTGACAAAGGAGCACGACATCTGGCTGATGCATTACGAAGAAATATGGTCACTCACCCCTTTTTCATCTCTCTCATATATCTATCTCGGTTTTTTGATACAGACACTTACGAAACTCGGTCTTCAGCACAACCAAATCGGGCAGGAGGGAGCATACTGTTTAGCTATTGCATTAACAAAGAACACAGTAACATTTCGTCTTCCTTCATGTCTATCATATCTCTATCTGCAATTTTTGGCACAGACACTCACTAAACTCGATCTCGAGCACAATCAGATCGGAGCTCTCGGAGGACATTATATCGCTGATGCATTGCGAAATAACACGGTGACCGACATTCTTTGTTCACTTCTCTAGTATACTTATGAGCTGATTTCGAATAGACACTCATTGTACTTAATCTTATGAACAATGGCATCCAATCTGCTGGAACACAATTTCTTGCTGTTGCATTACAGCATAACAGGGTAACTCTGATTGCCTCTTCATCATCTTGTGTATTCATATTTTACATTTTTTCACGCAGACGCTCACCACACTCCATCTCGGGTACAATCAAATTATAAACGAAGGAGCATCACATATGGCACATGCATTACAAAATAACACAGTGATCGTGCTAATCTTTTAATCTCTCGCATGTTCGCATTTGCATTTTTTTCGTACAGACACTGACCACACTATGCCTCCAGCATAATGGAATTGGAGATGAAGGAGCAGAAGATCTGGCTAATGCAGTGCTATATAATATGGTGACAGGGCTGTCATTCTTTCTTTATCTCTCTCATGTCTGTATTTCTACTGTTATACATAGACACTCACGACACTGATGATTCACAATAATTCAATCGGGAAGGATCTTGACGATCATATTCGAGAAATGATTGAGCGGAATCGACGCAAAGCCATATCGTAAACGTTGTTTATACAGATCGCAGTGCAAAACTGAACGTTCATGATGAATCTGTGATTGCCATGTCGTTTTGATGATTTTATTTGGAAAAGAAAAGAAATATTTTTGTTGACAAATGATTTTTTTGTGAATGACAATATGAAAATGACTCTCTGCTTCGGAAATGGTAAAGGTAGAGGATTACATTATTCATGAGTTATTTGTTTGTGATCTGACTGCAGAAAGATAGTTTATATACGATTTGTTATCGATGATTGTGTGAAGAGTTGGGTGAGTCTTAAAAAAAATGATTTTGCGATTTCGGAATCAAGTGAATTTTCAATTGCAAAATGTCATGAATAATGTTGTATTGCATGGTGTAAGTGATTTGTTGTATCTTCTTTTTGTAAAAATAAAGATAGAAATATCAGATTCAACTTTTGATGAACGATCGGCTATGTACTAGAAATATCGTCTTCTTTTAAAGAATTCTAGTTTTCGATTATCAGCAACTCTAATGTCTGGTTGAAGATGTTCGGGGTAAAACTATCTGTCTTGCTTTCGGGTCGACAGAATATGAGGTTTCGTTTTGTCGTTCATTATGTTTAAAGTTGAAAGCGCATATGAAAGTAAACACTCTCCATGTAAGTACACCCTGATTTATTGTCAGTCGAATTCTCTGATGAGGAAAAGCCATCAACTGTTTAATCGCTTTTGCATTGAGACTATGTACACTATGAAGATCAAAATGAGTTATCAATACCCTACAAAGAATTCGAACAGTTAGCTTACTGCTACGAAGATACTGCAATTTTATGACATGTTGCAAAATGATTGTCGTGATTTCCTTAAGAGTATCAGAAAAAGTGATTTTCGAATTTCTACTTAAAACTTTACACAGAAAAAGACCTTGACAAAACTGCTTTCTTTGGAAGTTTTAGATCTTTTAAATAACTTCTATGTCGAAATGAGAGCGTGAAATTTGATAGTTTATCGAAATAAGGTAAACAACAAGTTATTACCATAGCTGTGTCTTAGGATAGAAACAGCAAAAAGTTCTGAAAGATTGACGAAAAGTTATTCTTATTAATGTCTGCTGCTACGTAGTTTCAAGTTGAAATTCGAAAATCAGCTTTTTTGATGTCCCAAGGAAGACCAAGTCATTCATTTTAAAAATGCCCTAAAAGTGCCGTATCTTCGTAACAAAAAACTGATTGCCCAAATTTTTTTCAGGGTGTTGACAGCACATCTGGATCTACATAATGAACATAGTCTCAATGCAAAAGCGATTGAACAGTTGACGGTCTTTCCTCAGGAGAACATATTTCAAGTTCGGAACATGGTTTTGAAATATTTGGAACTAGTTAAACAATCCTGTTTAGTCTATTGATCATTGATATGGATATGACGATTGTATACGGTCAATTAGGACCGCTTCTTTTTTAGAATAATGAGCATACCACTTTATTACGCTTGTACTTTTTCTTTGTCATTTTGTCGAAATCAAAGTGATGGTATCTACATGAATGGTGGGTGTGCGTACAAGAGAAGAAAATAGACAGAAACACCTCTGCAAAGATGACTATGTTATTTCTAGAGTAGGATCGAAGCTGACGACATTTCTCGCTTTGCATAGAATATCGTTGTTTTTTATAAAGGAGTTGTAGTTTTCAAAGTATTAGAAAACTTGTTAGATCATTACGGGTTCCCCATGTTCTTTAACCAATCTCTGTGTTAGTCATAATATTTTTAAAAACTTTTATTCAACAATCTAATTTTTTCATTCATTTTAAATCTGAAACTTTAGTTTCTGATTATAAAAAGAATAGACATAAAATCTCTTAAGTATAGAATATTTATTGCTGTACTATTTGCGTTCTTGTATTGTCAATGACATTTTTAAACAAAATAGAATATTTATTGTGAAAAAAAAAACAGAACAGATAAGATTTGATTTCCATTTTCGCGACAATGATCAGAATAAACTATGTAGATAATATGAGAAACCAAATTTTTCATAAGCATTACTACAAATCTTCTTGGAGTAACTGCTTTTGAGGATCGAGACAAAGAATTCACAGGATGCCTCAAAAGTTTCTACTCAAAAATGTTTTTTCGTATGGTAGGTGACACCATTAATATTCTATATCTGTGAACAACTTGTGAAAGTTCTTCTTAAAGTAATTATCATTAGCCGAATTACAAGAATATCGTCTTTTTTCCTGATTCCGTAATAATGTTTCGCAGTGCTTCTTTTTAAACTGTCTCATTTTTGACTTAACATTATTCGATTTCTTTTTATGAAGACATATTAAAACTAATTTCTATAAAATGATAGTTTGAGATTTGAGCAATTTCAATATCAGAATAAATCTAGTAAACGAAATAATTAACAAACCCAACGTTGCGAACTCTTAATATAGAACCAAAAAAACAAAGTTGAATTTTTGAATCATGGTTAATAGTAATTACTTTAATGAGCACTTGTATAGGTTGCTCATGGAAATAAAACCTTGATAGCGTCGCCTATCATACGTGAAGTAAATTAATCTGTATTGAATGTACTGCACTTGAAGGACTTAATTGCGTTGATGTCATTAGATTTATCATCTGTTTTTCAAAATTAAATTGATGATATCGGAAAGTTTCGATCATAGAGCAAAACGTTGTATAATAACCGATGTTAATTAGATCTATATTTGACTTCCTCCATCACTCAATAAATTTAATGACAATCAGTTATTAGAAGTTTTTCTTTCAAACTATTTCTCTGGATCTTCTTTCCAAAATCAATTGTTGACGTAAGTTCTTGCTGATATTGATTTGAATAACGAGAATATTCAATATTTGTTTCTTTGTAAAATATGTTAATTAAATCAAAAGCTAGAATTTTAAAAAGAGCTTTTGAAAACTTTTTTGGACATCTATGTTGTTCTTAAATATATTGTCCATCATTTTCTTCATTCGAATCAATACTACTTACAAGTATTTTAAGAAAACTTTCGTTTTAATCATCGTTTTGTTTGAACAATGAACTTAAAAAATAGATAATTAATTTATTGAAGGCTTACACTCACGAAGAAAATAATTTTCTTATAATATTAAGGTGTGGGATCTAGGTACTTTCATGTGGCTTTTGTGATAGTCCGCATGCTTTCCTAAATGTTTAAGCTTTTCTATTACGCTATATAGTTTGCCGGTCAGTTGCAATTTATTCTTATGATCTTTTTTCAAAATACAATCCGAATATGATAGAATGAATGTTCTCATCTCAAATATTTGACAATAAGATTGACGCGAAAATTTGATTTTCGTGCCAATATAGGCGAGCGAGAGACATACCTCTCTTTTAATAAAGTTTTGTCAATGAAGATAAAATTGATTTGAAAAAACTGCTTTATCATTTCTTGAAGTATTCCACTTCAATTCGAGGAAATAAACAAGTAACGATATCCGATCATTGAAAAACTTATCGTATTGTAGTCATAAAATCTTCTTTAAACAGAATTTTTTTTTGTAAACAATACAATAGTAAGGCAATTATCAGTTGACATAGTGAAATAACATGACACCCTACAATAATGTACCACATTTTCCTCGTATAGAATACTTCATCTTGTCTATCAACTTGTATTGTGACCGCTCCACGTGCACTATTCCTTTTTCTTCTCTTTCTGTCGTCGCGCAAAGAAACTATTTTCTGATTTTTTTTTCTTGCGTTCTGTCAAGGACATTCCCTTGTTTTTCTGATGTTCCTAGTCGGGTAGTGTTATCATATGCGATCATCGTTTTTAGTTGTTTTTTCTTTTCCTTCCATCGTTTTGCCCTTGCCTTTTCCCCTCTCTCTTTCATTCTCATTTTGTCACATTCTATAGATCTAGACGCACAGAAATGGGTATGGGTAATAGTGCTCCATCGTTTTTATTTTCATATAAAGTGAACTTTACTCGTGAGACACCAAAAGATTTTTATTTGAGTGGTGATCGAGTTCAAGGTATTATTCAAATTGCTACAAATGATAATGACAATGATTTAATCCGCAAATACGGTCCTTTGTACGTCGAACTCATTGGCGAATTGCACGATTTCAAAACAGATACTCATCAACATTACACAAAAGGTGTTCATGTATTCTTTCGAAGACGAGCACAAGTGATAAAGCTACCAAATGACAATCAGAAACTGGTTAGATATTTATTTAACAGAAATTTTTTGTAGGAACAAAATGTTCAATATTAATTCCATTTTCTTTTGTATGAGTTGCAATGATAGACAAAAAAAAATGAGATCGTGGAAGAAATACGTTCAAGTCTTAGCTTCAAAACATAAATATCTCGTGTTCATGAGTTCCGAATTTCTTGACTCCAAATACAACCAATAAAATCTTTCACACCAATGTTCAATAGATTCGATAAGATCTGAGAAAGAAACCTTAAAGAGCAGAAATTGTAAAAGTATGTTTCAAGAAAACCAATGGAAAATGAATTTGACTCATAACTTGAACATATCTATCTTGCAAAATAAGACTTCTGAATGCTGCCGTAAACTACAAGTTTCTATTTTCCCTATATGTCAAAATATCGATCTTCTTCCGAATCTATCTCTTAATTATTATTGTTTTTTTAAGGAAACTAATCGTCTTCGAACTTATAGATGGGCATTTGATGGTTTATTAGACTCTTTGCTTCCTTCATCATTACCACCTTATGATGAGTGTGATCCATGCATTTGCTATTATGCTCTGGTTTATCTTCGTCATGCTGATTATACTGATTTTGCTCGAAAATTTTCATTTCTTGTCTTTACGCGAGCTCCAAAGCTGACTGTTACTGGACAATCGCTAAAAAACAATATCATTGACGCTAGTGTACGACATAAAAGTGTGAAATTTTACGGTGCTCTTCCGAATAATGGACTTGCTGTGCCCGGTCAGACTCTCATGTTGCAAATTGAAATCGACAATCCAATGAAAGTAACAATCAAATTGATTCGAGCAACACTCAAGCAATATCGAAATATAACAGATCAAGAAACTGATTTTACTATTTTTTCTTTTATTTTACCAGGATTTAAACCGAAAGGATTCAATAGTGAATATCGTCAAAGTACATATGAACTACCAATACCAATCGGAAAATGTCGACTCATGGCGCCGACATCATCTTATAAAGGTGTTCGATATGAACTTCATATTCAATGTCATTTAGATTGTTCATTTAATAATAATTTTACATTAACATTACCGGTTATTTGTACCACTGATCATCAACAACCATTAAAAATCATGGACGAATTGAAATCTATACCTGAAATTCTTCAGCGTTTATCGAGTAAAGAAGAAGAAAAGCCACCACCTACTTATGAAGATTTCATGGCCAGTGAGATTTTACCCAAATATGAAGATATTATTCATTAATCGTTAACCTTTTTCAACGATATACATTGAATACTCATGGGATTATCTACTTTATGACACTCGAAGTTGCTTATAAACAGCAATGCACGACACAAAAATAATTATAATAGTAATAAATTGATTTTATCTATGTATATAAAAGTTAAACTTTCATCGATTGAGTGCTCTAATTTGAAATAATATTGAAATCTAGACATAGGGTATTTTAGATCACAATTCGAGTTTTTCTCAACGAATTTACCTCATAGCCGAATCCTAAGCGAATGAATGTTTCAAGTAAGTCTTCTACTAGATTTCTCTTTACTCAATATTATTAATTATAAAGTTAACTTGGTAAACCGTAATAGTTTGAGGGATTTATCAGAATTAAACAGATACAGAAGCAATTTTAACTTCAACCTTTATTGGTTTTCAGGTGAGAATTTTGTCAACTAGGCATACTTCCGATTAGATATATTGATTAAAGTACAATTTGATAATTAATAATGATTGAGAAAAAAAGTACGCTCAATAATAAATGGATCTGATAAATGAAATGATTTAATTTGACAAAGTGGTATAAGAGAAATTAATTTTAAGAAAAGAACTTTCAATTGACTGTTGCCACTATAAAAGTGAAATACAATATATTAAGTGTAAGAAGACAACTAATAAATATGAATTTCATTTTGTTATTTTTCTTTTGTTTGTCCAACACTTAAATTTTCTATAGTACACAGAATAGACAATTAAAAATGTCTAGTTTTTTATGTTAAGAGAAAGATTCTATAGATTTTAACTCATAGAAGCCAAACATAATATATATATTAGTCTCATACGAATGTACGATTTCAAAAGTGATAAACATTTCAAATATAAAAAGCCTTTCAGCACCATAAATATGTTTTCTTATCAAAACTGTCATATTGTATTTGTAGCGAATACAAATTAAGAAGTTCTCGGATTTCATCAAAGTTTCTAGTATATTTGGGGATGGCCAGTCTGGCCGGAGGGTCCATTTTGATAGAGTCCTATTGTAAGGATAAAACCTACTATTGTTCGGGTCATATGAGAGCGGATATCAGATAACCCTGGATTAGCCTGAACAACACCATGGTTTATCCTTACAATAGTAAAGAAAAGCTACGGGCTCATCGTATGAGCTGGTAGGTGAGCTGGTAGCTTTTCTTTACTATTGTAAGGATAAAACATGGTGTTGTTCAGGCCAATCCAGGGTTATCTGATATCCGCTCTCATATGNAAGAGTGCGCGTCCTAATTTAACCAAAGTACTCATGAAAAATCTCGAGTTCGGTCACACGTCAAGACTTTTTTTCTTCAATTAACGTGATCGAAAATTAGCTCTATTAAAACGTTGTTCAAAGTCCACGGTCTATGTTCTCAGCACCTTTAGAAATTATCATTAGGAGAGTTTTGTATACAAAAACTTAATTTTTATGGCATTTGACAGAAGCAGTGTGGGAGTTAAAACTAGCCGAGTTATAACTCAAGTTATAACTTTTGAGTTATAACCGATCAACTTTTTGGTCGAAAAGTTAATTTAGTTATAACTATCAACCGTAGTTATAACTTTCAACCATAGTTATAACCTTTAACCGTGGTTATAACTTTCAACCACAGTTATAACTTTCAACCATGGTTATAACTTTTAACCGTAGTTATAACTTTTAACCGCGGTTATAACTTTCAATCGCAGTTATAACTTTCAACCGCAGTTATAACTTTCAACTTCATTAACTTTTTAATGTTTTTGAGTAAAGTTAATTGAGTTGGAATGACAATCACTTCGATTTATTGACATATTCGATAGAATAGAAGAAAATACCAGCAAGCTCGTTCTTCCATCTTCCCACATTGTCAGACTCTTCGGTAAAATAAGACCTATCTTCCCATTTTAGAAACTCTCGGGAAAGGTATCATGTATCGGACCTAATAAAAGACCTTCCCAACTTTAACTAATAGTTACAAATTATTAAACCAGATGTTGATATTTTTTCAATGTCAACTGCATATTTTCATCTTTTTTCACTAAATAAAGACCTAAAGCTCTATATATTCCTGAAAATCCTTGATGACCTCACAAATCATGGAAAAGCTGTGAAGAAATCTCGAAAACTAAGAAGATTTTTCATAAATATTTTCAACTGAAATCTGTAGAAATATGTGCATTATGATAGAATACCCCCAGGAAAGTGTGTATGTTTGAAAATAATACAAGATTTCATTTTTTCTATTATGAAGAGATTATTTATAACATTCTTTACTTCAGAAAAGCAGTAGTTTAGCATCTCTTCAACGCTTTTTAACGTATTTATCTATAGGTGCCGCTTTGTTCATTTATCTGTTGAGTGATAATGAGGCAATTGTTTCTTTATTGAGTGACGTCAAGAAACTTTTCTATATTGAGAACTATGAGAGAAATTCAGAAATACAATGGCTTTCATTAAAACTATAGTAGTCAAGCATACGCAATTTTGAATTACAATTGTGTCTTTGGAACTTTTGTACTAAAGCTGAACCCGTCAAAATTTACAGTTGATACAGGCCTCATCTACAACTATTACATCAACCATGTTTACAATTATGAACTGTAGTTATAACCTTTACCTTAGGTTATAACTATCCACTCTAGTTATAACTTTCGACCACAGTTATTGCCGTGATTCCTATTAACTACAACCAGTCTTATTATAATCCCTAATCTGCAAGATTTTTACATTGGGCAGGACTTTGAAAACTCTAAAACTAACAGTTACATCTATGCACACAGATAAGATGTGTTTTCCTAGACATTAACATGACTTGGTTCACTTGTTCTTCATGAATAATGCAACAAGTGTTTCTCCTTATCTTGAATTTATAAAACAGAGAATGATTGCATCTTCTATTCTGTCAATTCTCTCCAAATTTGGCTTTTGCTGCCACCTTAATCTCTTATTCTTCTACTTTTTTTTCTTCGTTCATTGATATGTCAACGAAGAAAATTAAGAATAAAGTAGAATACTAGATGTACTAATATAAGTAGTAATGAACGTATACAAGCATACAAAGAATAATCTGATACGGTGATTTTGTATGAAAATAAGCCATACGTAATTATATTAACAAAAGCTTTAATTTCATCATAAAATATAGTGAGACGATTGCTGTTTACATAATTAAAATTAGAATTAGTGGATTCTGCTTTTAACTATTGCTCTCAGCTATTCGCATCTTAAGGACTATCGTTGGTCACATGACAAAAAATGTATTATTGTATTTATGTGTTCGGCTTCAACGTATATACAGAAGAAAACTTGCAGATGAGTGCTTTGTTAAAAAGCATTCAAAGTAGATTCAGAAATTCTGTTTTTCTAAAGTAAAGCACCTGGAAAATGCTTGTATTTGCCTCTATTCTATCGAGCATGTCAATAAATCGAAGTGATTGCCATTCCGACTCAATTAACTTTACTCAAAAACATTAAAAAGTTAATGAAGTTGAAAGTTATAACTGTGGTTGAAAGTTATAACCGCGATTAAAAGTTATAACTACGGTTAAAAGTTATAACCATGGTTGAAAGTTATAACCACAGTTAAAGGTTATAACTATGGTTGAAAGTTATAACTATGGTTGAAGGTTATAACCGTGGTTGAAAGTTATAACTCGAGTTATAACCATTTTAACTTTTTCTGATTTTCTTAACTTTTAACTTTTTCAAAAAACAGTTTTAACTCCCACACTGATTTTAGTTCAACCTGATTATTCGCAAGAGGTTAAGCATCATAGAATGCATACAAAAGCGAAACATAATTGGGTTGATGCAAAAATTTTGTAAATTTAACTAATAATTGCGTAAATCTATATCGATTAAAGTCGTCCTCCGTTATCATAATCGGAAGGGAAAACATCAGTCTGTCTTGAATAGGATAGTCTACCAGGAAGTCTCATAACATAGATTTTAAAGGTGTATCGAAAGGACTACATGGATATGAGAAGATTTGTTGAGTAAACAAATGATGATTATTATGGTATTTCAATTAATAAATTATTATTAAATTTAGAATAAGACGCATACGTTGTTCTATTTGTATTAGCCAGTATCATTTATTGAAAAAAATGTATCATCTATTCGACTCAGACATACATAGTTTATCGTAAGCTATTCGATTTGAATCATTGATAGATTCAGTCTGGTGACATTGAAGTTTTGAATACAATCAAGTGACATCTATTGATGATGATCGTGAATTATAAAAATAAAATTATTGAAGAAGGCGATCGTCATAGATAAGTTAGATCTAATGGCTTTAGATCCAATTTCATCTATTGAATACAATAATAATTTAGCCTCCCATTCCCGTTCTACAATTAAACATCTGACAAATCCATAATAGATAATGCAAACAAGAGAAGAAATTGCAAATTGACGCAGAAAAAAAGTAAAAACTCGAATATATGTTACACATGTATTTGAAATTCTTTGTATAGAGTTGAAAGAGCTCAAACAGAAAATTGTTTGAAAAGTCAAACTCGTCAGAATTCTGCACATAGTAAATGGGCATCTCCTATGTCGAGTATATTATGGTAAAATAATTATATGAATTTATGTCTTCTATATCATTGCTATTTTCATAAAGTGATGAAGCACTTCGTATGGAGCAAGGGAAAGAAGAAAAACAAAAGCGTCTTGAACAACGTCGAAGTCATTTATCTACTATTCTTGATGCTGAAAAAAAAACGAATTTTATGTTTAGATTTTATTTCTAATAGAATATAATCTGAAAATTTATTTTTTCTTAAATAATCCAGAATGAATTATTAGTACATCATCAAGCATCACGTGAATCAATTCCTGAAATAAGAATTCGTTCTAATTCTCTTCATTCAACTCATGAAAAACAACATCAAGGAATATCTGATGAACAACTATATTAACATCGGATAGCAAATACTTCTGATTGTCATTCAGTAAAACAACAGAAATTAGAAAATCTACAGACTGATTATTGGTCAGAATGACTTAATGGAAAATACGAAGAAGGAAGTAGGAATCCAAAGTACCAACAAGAATTTCGTGAATCTTTACATGAACAAGAAGAACATAGACCAAATGAAAGAGAAAAACGAACTCAACAATTGAAAGTGATTTTACAACAACAAATGGATGAATTTAATCGAAAAGAAGAAGAGGTTTTTTTCATATCAATTCGTTTTTTTTTAATAGAATTAAGTCATTTAAATTTAGTTGAAAGTATTGAGACAAAAAGAAGAGCATCTTAGAAAGCAACACGAATTAGATCAATATGAAGAAGAAAGAAAACAATTGGTACAATGTTTTATTCAACAAGATAATGGGTAATTTTATTCATTATTTCATTTGAATTTCTGCGAGAGTAGTATCGTATATAGAGTACGTCAGATATTCCACAAATGAGTAGAGATGTGAGCGGCGATGATCGAATGATGAGTCAACTTTTGGAAATAAATTCAGCTACAATGTCTTGAATAGATAAGCTCATACATATAGACATTTTTCCCAAAACATGCCTCATCAATGATGAAGAACGTAGATAATGTGAAAAATAACTTATCATCAGTCTATATGCATTTTCTCTGCCTAAAACAAGAGCAAAACTTAAACAGAGATCACTAATCTATTAGATTAAATGTAGCTCACTCCACATTTCTAAAAAGAATGATAGTAAGGATCGGCAAAATCAAAAAATAAATAGATAATATTTGATGAAAATTTGATTTTCAAGATGAAATGTTACTATAATTTATTTTTTCAGACCTTAACTTCTTCGACAACATAAAGATAAATTGCATAAACGAGCAAAAGAAATTGAAGAACAACTGGTTTGTTCTATTTTCTTATTTTCGTTGTATATCTGCAATAGTTTATTTTTAATCCTTAGGAAACCGATATAACAATTCTTATATCAATTGTTCATGCTGATGACGAGAATCCCTATGAACAAATCTGAAGAACGACAACAATTAAAACGAAATACAATCAATACGCTTCAACAATTTCAATAACACATTATATTAGAAAAACAGAAAGAACAAGAACTTGATGACATGTTTCAGTAAGTCTTTCGAAAATCTAAATAATTAAATCTTTTCATATATATAATTATTTGAAAGAGACGATGCTACTAAAGAATGTTCTCGTTGTGAACAACAATGGAATACTGAAAAAGAATCACGTGAAAAATTAATGAGTCAAATTCTTAATGAAGCACACAAGCAACTTCTAAAAACATCATATTGATGATATGGAACAAACCAGAAAATATCATTTAATTGAAAAACAAAAACCAGCTAAAGAAAAAGAACAACAAAGACTAGATTTACACAATCAGGTAATCATCTTTTGCATTGCTCTCAGATTTAGATAAAAAACTTGAACTTATTTTTTTTAATTTTATCAGTTGTACAACAAGAACTAGAGAAATCTCTATTGGAACTCGAAAAACCAGATACTATTCAATCTGAAGATAAATAAATGTGGAAACCTCGGATTTAAATCCAAGTGTTATGTGTACTTCAAAAAGTAAAAACACAGAAGCAATTTCCGTTTAAGTATCTTTGCAATAGGTGACTTAGCCTTCTTGTTTCTTAATGTTTTATATACCATTTTGTAGCTCGTGAAATTATCTATCGAATGGTATATAATAGCTGAGGTTTTGTTTGATTATGAGAGAATAAGTTTTTTGACGAAAGTCGGGATAGGTCAATAATCGCATAGGGGAAAATGACTGTTTTTGCGATAACTCAGCAATGGTTCGACGAATCATTCTGATCTTCGAACTCGATTGAGACATTGATGAGACGATACTGTGCAGAAAATTTCATCAATATCGTGCTCTTCTTTCAAAAGTTATCGTGTAAACGAGCGGACGGACACACTGACCGATTCTAGCGTGTACTTACTTTTTGAGTACACAAAGAAGACTATTCTACATTAGGCTTTGCAAGAACACTTTGTTTTTGCAAAAAATTTAACGTGAAAATTCTCACTCCAAATTAGTAAAATGGCCATAATTTAGTAATAAATATATATATTTCGAAATGTCTTTTTTTTCAGACAATAGCTCTTCTCTTCCTCTACAAAATGGCAATTTGATCAATATTTTCATAGAAGTTTGATATAGATATCATTAGTTTACTGAGAGAAGTCGAAACTTTGGACCACCCTTTATTATATATATTTTCCTTTGCTTTCTGTTTCTCATATGATCTTAATAGAACACCATGGTATTACTATGCCTACGTCTCACACCCACTCTCTAGATCTTCAAGAAATATCATACAAACTCAATTATTTTAACTTTATTGTTGTCATTCAAAAACTCTTGTTTATCAATAAATGATCAAGTTTATTAGTTAGTGTCACGTTTATGGTATTGGCAATTTAACTGCATTGAAAATAATACTGCCCACATGTGATATCAGTGGTGCATGTGAACTATTTCGATTTTCAAGCAGTTTTTTCACAAATATCAATGGATTCGAAGGAAAACAACAATGATGAAGTTTTAGTTGTTCACGATGTTCCGGTTGTTCTACATAACCATCGAGAGCGATGCAGCCATTATCGAAAGCATCATCTTCGAGTTTTGTTCGTGGTTTTGGACATAGACCTAAACATTGACAATAAGCTGTTTGCTCTTCAACAGTATTGAAATAGAGAGTGCCATTAAAAAGAAACAATTGAACCAACCATTCAACTGGAATAGAACAGGGAACAGTTGGAGGAATGGTCAGACGTGAGATATCAATAAAAATCGATTGATCACGTTGAAGACGTGGCAGAAGAAGGCGTAATGTGGTCGTTGGTGGTTGAACAAGTTTCTGCTTGTGGTGAAGATGCTGTAATTGACCTAACAACCAATTGGCTTCGAAAGCACTAACAAAAATAACGTGTTGATTACGATAGATGAACACCCATCGTGGTGGACGCAGGAATGGATCTAATGATTCTCCACGTGTTTGAATAACTCGTTGAAATTCAGTCGAAATCCAAAGATTTGCTTGCCAACAATGAAATTGGCTGTGTTCATGAAATGTAGTACCAAGAAAAGCATCTTTCAGAGGACGGAATACTGAAGATAAGTTGGATAATTTCACCGTAGGACCTTCCATATTACATAAACTTTTAATTTCATTGTGCAAAACAGGTTCATAAGGTTGAACAGCTGGTGGACGTTTTTGTTGTCGTTCTTCTTCCATTTCTTGTTCTTGTTCTAATTCTCGCTGTTGTTCTTCATCTAATAATTGTGATAGTAATTTTTTCGATCCACCATAATCTTTTAAACGTTTAGTGACAGCTTTATGAATTTCGGTGGATGAACATATCTGAAAATATTTATATCGAGCAGAATAAATTTCCAAAATAGTTTGCCAAGTTTTTGATGGACCATACATTGATTTTAAATCTAGTATTTCATTTTCTAAACAATCTTTAGCTAACTGTTCCATCATTGTATTTGTATATGTTTGTTGATTAGTATTCCGATAGATATTTTGAAAAGCAGTTACTTTTCGTTGAAAACTTAAACTTTGTGTAGCCCAATGATGTAAACCATCCCAAGTTGCTTGTTGACTATTGTCATATACCCACCGAAGGATATCAACTAGAGTAACTTTTTCATCAGTTGACAAGGAATTTCTTTTCAACATTTCAATTTGATGATGAACTTCATTTGAACTCCAAAAACTTAACCAATGACATTTTCCTAATTTTCTCATTCTCATACATGCTTGAACTAAACGATCTTTCGTTAAACCATTTCCTAATGTCACCGCTGCTCGAAAACCATTTGGAAATTTAAAATCTGTTCCTCTTGTATGAATTTCATCGAGATAAAATACGCAACGATCTAGACGTTCACTGGCAGGTGATGTTGAAAAAGCATGACATCGATTAAGACGATCAATAACAAAAATTTCATCGAATTCGAAATAAACTGCATAATCAATTTTGGTTTTATCTAATAAATTTAACCATTTCTCGGCTATTTGATGATTTGTTCCATCGATAAATAATGCACCAACATCAAGAATCACTTGAATATCTAATTCACAATTGACAATTTGTTTCAAAATCTCTTCTGAACTCGGACTAATCGGTAAACATTGATAATTTTCATTTTCAATTCGAAGTAAATTATTAAGAACAAGAGCATCGGTTTTGCGTAATTCTGGTAAATCACATTGATGAATATGAGCAGGGAGTAATAATTGTGTATCATTTGTTCCACTAAATCCAGTAATGATTTGTTTTCGTGAGAATGATGAAGATAAATCCCAAGCAGAAGCAATCAATTTATTTGGAAATTGTTTTGCTTCACGAGGAAAAACGAAATGATTAAGAAAATAATTAATTACTAAGATATTGTGACGTAAACTTGGAAAGAGATATTCAGTTGTTTGTTGAGAATTTTTTAAATTAATTGATTTCCAATGTTGAATATTTGAAATCAAATCATCAGTTTTATTTTCTTGAGAAATCCATTCTTCATAAATCATATCAGGATCTTCTTCTTCATCGTTCATACGATTGAAACATTGCATCATTTGTGTATCATTTAAACCACTATAAAAATACGAAAGTTGAGTTAAAATGATCGCAACATCTGGATGACCGAATTCAGTATTTTCTGCAGCAACATCTTTTGCACGAAATGGTACAGCCATTAAACGATCGAATTTCGAATTTTGGTTCACACCGAAATTAACACGATAACGTCTTTTCAAAGCAACGAATAGAACTTCGGATGATAATAAACCACGCAGAATCAGGAATAATTGAATAATTATGTCAGAAAATCGACCAGTCAGATCATCTATAGATGAATTTGTGTTCAAAATAAACGATTCTATCATCTGCAAATCATTTTGACGAAAGCTTCTTTGACTAAGCCATTCCTTAAGAATAAGTTTACATAATGTTGGAAATGGTTGATGTGACAATAAACGAAATTCTGGAAAATGACTCGGACGTGTTGAAGTTTTATAAAAAACGTCGTCTCCATACTGTTGCGCAATAGTTGCAGCATGTTGTTTGACGAATATTAAAATCGATTGAATAGTTTTCCAACGTTCTACACCTCCATCAACTTGTTGTTGACGACCAACTGAATAAATCAATTGATATTTAACATGTAAAATTTCATCCGATTCATCTAAAATATCACGAATATATATTTTACACCATTGTTGAACAGATAACATTGATTGACCAACAATAAATTCATTTCGTCGACATTTATCTATTGTTAGTAAATCAAATGATAGAATATCTTCTGGTGAAGTTAATATCACATCACAATGTTTTAATCCTTGCTGTAAACGATTAAAAATTTGATTGACTTCTCCAGTAGTAAAATTCATATCACGTCGACAAGAAAATGGTAAAACACGTCGATTTAATAAACCACCTAATTTACATCGTAATGATTGATAATTCATTGGAAATAAAGATTTTAATACAATTATACGAACCAGACTTGATGATGATGAACTTAAATTAAGTGCTAAAATTGGAAGAACAACTGAAGTTTTTCCTTCACCCATATTCATTTGCATGACAATATTACATATTGAAGAGTTGTCTCCTATTATTTTTGGATTCATCATATGACGTGCAACTTGAATTTGNGAATATAAGCTATTAATTGAATACTGTCAAACAAGAACCGCAGTAGACTTGGTAATAGGAAAGTAGAGATAGAGTGCGAATGGAGTATAGTTGAAGTACGAGTGGAGTACGGGTGGAGTACAGCTGGAGTACGGGTGGAGTACAGCTGGAGTACAGCTGGAGTACGGGTGGAGTACAGCTGGAGTACAGCTGGAGTACGGGTGGAGTACAGCTGGAGTACAGTTGGAGTACGCACTCTAGGAGTCTCGCTTTTTCCCCTTGGATTTTTATACATATATATATATATATATATTTATGTTGACAAATTCTTTATTTAAAATAAATAGGAAAGCGAGAAATAGTGCATTTAGTCAATATTTAATTAAATCAATAATGGTGAATGTGAAAAGAAATAATTTATAAAAATTTTTTTCTATTAATAAATTGTTGAACATTGTTTTGAGAAATAAACTTCGAAATAATTTATTAAAATATAGATTTATATAAGTGTCATCATCAAACCTGTGAATATTTATCAAAGATAATTAGGGTGAGGGTGTGGGTCTTAATTAATAATCTACATCCACACCCACATCCAACATAGGCAATCTGAAGAATAACTTATAACCAATCTATATGCGTTTCTCTGCATAAAACAAGAGCAAAAGTTAAACAGAGATCACTAATCTATTAGATTGAATGTAGCTCATTCCACATTTCTAAAAAGAATGATAGTAAGGATCGGCAAAATCAAAAAAATAAATAGATAGTATTGATGAAAATTTGATTTTCAAGATGAGATGTTACTATAATTTATTTTTTCAGACGTTAACTTCTTCGACAACATACAGCTAAATTGCATAAACGAGCAAAAGAAATTGAAGACCACCTGGGTTGTTCTATTGTCTTATTTTCATTGTATATCTGCAATAGTTTATTTTTTAATCCTTAGGAAGCCGATATAACAATTCTTATATAAATTTTTCATGCTGATGACGAGAGTCCCTACGAATAAATCTGAAGAACGACAACAATTAAAACGAAATACAATTAATACGCTTTAACAATTTCAACAACAAATCATATTAGAAAAACAGAAAGAACAAGAACTCGATGACATGTTTCAGTAAGTCTTTCGAAAATCTAAATAATTAAATATTTTCATATATATTATTATTTGAAAAAGACGATTCTACTAAAGAATGTTCTCGTTGTGAACAACAATGGAACACTGAAAAAGAATCACGTGATAAATTCATGAGTCAAATTCTTAATGAAACTCACAAACAATTTCTAAAAACATATTATTGATGATATGGAACAAACCAGAAAATATCTTTTAATTGAAAAACAAAAACCAGCTAAAGAAAAAGAACAACAACAGACTAGATTTACACAAGCAGGTAATCATCTTTTGCATCACTCTCAGATTTAGATAAAAAAGTTGAACTTATTTTTTTAAATTCTATCAGTTGTACAACAAGAACTAGACAAATCTCGATTGGAGAATTCGAAAAGCCAGATACTATTTAATCTGAAGATAACTAAATGTGGAAATCTTGAATTTAAATCCGAGTGTTATGTGTACTTCAAAAAGTAAAAACACAGAAGCAATATCCTTTTAAGTATCTTTGCAATAGGTAACTTAGCCTTCTTGTTTCCTAGTGTTTTATATACCATTTTGTAGCTCATAAAATTCTCTATTGAATGGTATATAATAGCGTGGAGTTTTCGTTTGATTATGAAAGGAAAAGTTCTTTTTACAAAAACCAAGATAGGTCAATAATCGCATCGAAAAGCATGGGGGAAAATGACTGTTTTTGTGATAACTCAGTAATAGCTCGACGAATCATTCTCATCTTCGAACTCGACTGAGACATTGTTGAAGTGATACTGTGTAGAAGATTTAATTAAGATCGTAATCTTCTTTCAAAAGTAATCGTGTAAACGGCCGAACGGACACACTGACCGATTCTAGAGTGTGCTGAATTTTTGAGTACACAAAAAAAGGCTATTCTACATTAGGCGTTGCAAGAACACTTTGTTTTTGCAAAGATGCAACGTGAAAATTTTCACTCCAAATTAGTAAAATCACCATAATTTTGCAAATAAATAGATGCATTTCGAAATGTATTGTTTTTAGATAATAGCTCTTCTCTCCCTCTACAAAATGACAATTTGTTCAATATTTTCATATAAGGTTAATATAGATAGCATTAGTTCACTGGAAGGTATCGAAACTTTGAACCGTCCTTTATGAAGTATATTTTCCTTTGCTTTCTGTTTCTCATATAATTTTAATGGAACACCATGATATTGCTATGCCTACATCTCACACCCACTCTCTAGATCTTCAAGAAATATCATAGAAACTCAATTATTCTGATTTTATTATTTTCATTCAAAAAATCTTGTTTATCAATAAATGATCAAGGTTATCAGTTAGTGTCACGTTTATAATATTGGTAATTTAACTGCATTGAAAATAATACTGCCCACATGTGATGTCAGTGGTGCATGTGAACTATTTCGATTTTCAAGCAGTTTTCTCACAAATACCAATGGATTCGAAGAAAAACAACAATGATGAAGTTGTAGTTGTTTACGATATTCTGGTTGTTCTACATAACCATCGAGAGCGATCCAGCTATTATCGTAAGCATCATCTTCGAGTTTTGTTCGTGGTTTTGGACATAAACCTAAACATTGACAATAAGCTGTTTGCTCTTCAATAGTATTGAAATAGAGAGTGCCATTAAAAATAAACAATTGAGCCAACCATTCAACTGGAATAGAACAAGAAACAGTTGAAGGAATGGTCAGGCGTGAGATATCAATGAAAATCGATCGATCACGTTGAAGACGTGGCAGAAGAAGTCGTAATGTGGTCGTTGGTGGTTGAACAAATTTCTGGTTGCGGTGAAGATGCTGTAATTGACCAAGCAACCAATTGGCTTCAAAGGCACTCACAAAAATAACGTGTTGATTACGATAGATGAGCACCCATCGTGGGGGACGTAGGAATGGATCTAATGATTCTCCATGTGTTTGGATAACTCGTTGAAATTCAGTCGAAATCCAAAGATTTGCTTGCCAACAATGAAATTGGCTGTGTTCATGAAATGTAGTACTAAGAAAAGCATTTTTCAGAGGACGAAATACTGAAGGTAAGTTGTATAATTTCACCGTAGGATCTTGCATATCACATAAACTTTTTATTTCATTGTGCAAAACAGGTTCATAAGGTTGAACAACTGGTGGACGTTTTTGTTGTCGTTCTTCTTCCATTTCTTGTTCTTGTTCTAATTCTCGCTGTTGTTCTTCATCTAATAATTGTGATAGTAATTTTTTCGATCCACCATAATCTTTTAAACGTTTAATAACAGCTTTATGAATTTCTGTGGATGAATATATCTGAAAATATTTATATCGAGCAGAATAAATTTCCAAAATAGTTTGCCAAGTTTTTGATTGANCTTCTTCCATTTCTTGTTCTTGTTCTAATTCTCGCTGTTGTTCTTCATCTAATAATTGTGATAGTAATTTTTTCGATCCACCATAATCTTTTAAACGTTTAATAACAGCTTTATGAATTTCTGTGGATGAATATATCTGAAAATATTTATATCGAGCAGAATAAATTTCCAAAATAGTTTGCCAAGTTTTTGATTGACCATACATTGATTTTAAATCTAGTATTTCATTTTCTAAACAATCTTTAGCTAACTGTTCCATCATTTTGTTTGTATATGTTTGTTGATCAGTGTTCCGATAGATATTTTGAAAATTAGTTACTTTTCGTTGAAAACTTAAACTTTGTGTAGCCCAATGATGCAAACCATCCCAAGTTGCTTGTTGACTATTGTCATATACCCACCGAAGAATATCAACTAGAGTAACTTTTTCATCAGTTGACAATGGATTTCTTTTCAACATTTTAATTTGATGATGAACTTCATTTGAACTCCAAAAACTTAACCAATGACATTTTCCTAATTTTCTCATTCTCATACATGCTTGAACTAAACGATCTTTTGTTAAACTATTTCCTAATGTTACTGCTGCTCGAAAACCATTTGGAAATTTAAAATCTGTTCCTCTTGTATGAATTTCATCAAGATAAAATATGCAACGATCTAGACGTTCACTAGCAGGTGATGTTGAAAAAGCATGACATCGATTAAGACGATCAATAACAAAAATGTCATTGGATTCAAAATAAACTGCATAATCAATTTTGGTTTTATCTAATAAATTTAACCATTTCTTGGCTATTTGATGATTTGTTCCATCGATAAATAATGCACCAACATCAAGAATCACTTGAATATCTAATTTACAATTGACAATTTCTTTTAAAATCTCTTCTGAACTTGGACTAATCGGTAAACATTGATAATTTTCATTTTCAATTCGAAGTAAATTATTAAGAACAAGAGCATCGGTTTTGCGCAATTCTGGTAAATCACATTGATGAATATGAGCAGGGAGCAATAATTGTGTATCATTTGTCCCACTAAATCCAGTAATGATTTGTTTTCGTGAGAGTGATGAAGACAAATCCCAAGCAGAAGCAATCAATTTATTTGGAAATTGTTTTGCTTCACGAGGAAAAACGAAATGATTAAGAAAATAATTAATTACTAAGATATTGTGACGTAAACTTGGAAAGAGATATTCAGTTGTTTGTTGAGAATTTTTTAAATTAATTGATTTCCAATGTTGAATATTTGAAATCAAATCATCAGTTTTATCTTCTTGAGAAATCCATTCTTCATAAATCATATCAGGATCTTCTTCTTCTTCGTTCATACGATTGAAACATTGCATCATTTGTGTATCATTTAAACCACTATAAAAATACGAAAGTTGAGTTAATATGATTGCAACATCTGGATGACCGAATTCAGTATTTTCTGCAGCAACATCTTTTGCACGAAATGGTACAGCCATTAAACGAGCAAATTTCGAATTTTGATTCACACCGAAATTAACACGATAACGTCTTTTCAAAGCAACAAATAGAACTTCGGATGATAATAAACCACGCAGAATTAGGAATAATTGAATAATTGTGTCAGAAAATCGACCAGTCAGATCATCTATAGATGAATTTGTGTTCAAAATAAACGATTCTATTACCTGCAAATCATTTTGACGAAAACTTCTTTGACTAAGCCATTCCTTGAGAATAAGTTGACATAATGTTGGAAATGGTTGATGTGATAATAAACGAAATTCCGGAAAATGACTCTGACGTGTTGAAACTTTATAAAAAATGTCATCCATATACTGTTGCGCAATAGTTGCAGCATGTTGTTTAACGAATGTTAAAATCGATTGAATAGTTTTCCAACGTTCTACACCTCCATCAACTTGTTGTTGACGACCAACTGAATAAACCAATTGATATTTAATATGTAAAATTTCATCCGATTCATCTAAAATATCACGAATATATATTTTACACCATTGTTGAATAGATAGCATTGATTGACCAATAATGAATTCATTTCGTCGACATTTATCTATTGTAAGTAAATCAAATGATAGAATATCTTCTGGTGAAGTTAATATCACATCACAATGTTTTAATCCTTGCTGTAAACGATTAAAAATTTGATTGACTTCTNTCACGAATATATATTTTACACCATTGTTGAACAGATAACATTGATTGACCAACAATAAATTCATTTCGTCGACATTTATCTATTGTAAGTAAATCAAATGATAGAATATCTTCTGGTGAAGTTAATATCACATCACAATGTTTTAATCCTTGCTGTAAACGATTAAAAATTTGATTGACTTCTCCAGTAGTAAAATTCATATCGCGTCGACAAGAAAATGGTAAAACACGTCGATTTAATAAACCACCTAATTTACATCGTAAGGATTGATAATTCATTGGAAATAAAGATTTTAATACAATTATACGAACTAAACTTGATGATGATGAACTTAAATTAAGTGCTAAAATTGGAAGAACAACTGAAGTTTTTCCTTCACCCATATTCATTTGCATGACAATATTACATATTGAAGAGTTGTCTCCTATTATTTTTGGATTCATCATATGACGTGCAACTTGAAGTTGAATTTCTCGAATGGTAATATTCATTTCTAATTCCATAATTAACCATGGAACATGTTCTGCTGGTATCCAATTTGTATGAGGAATATTGGAGATTTCTTTTTCAAAATCTTCCCATTTCTCATGAATAGCGAGATGTAATGCTCGTTCAATTTGTTGTTCGACAATGCAATTGACAAGGATACCACCGAGTAATGTGCATTGATCAGTTGTTAAGAATAATGACGGTAAGTTATTGATATTGATTTCTTTTTTTAAAGAGATTTCTTGTAAGATAGATATTAATGTTGTTGGTGCGATTCTTATCATTAAACCAGTTTTGAATAATAATTCATTATTTAATTTAATTGATTTCGTTAATTCATGCCACATTTGTGTCGATTGTTCACAATAAGATTTGAGAAAATTGTTGATTTCGTTTAGATCCGGATATTTTCTTTGATATTCTTTAGTCGCTTGAAATTTTGTCCAACTTTCTATGAGATATTCTTTAAAATGATTGGCAATATCACTAAGAGGATTAAGTTGAGGATCTGTCGAAGGAATTATTTCTTTGGGGAACGCCTTCTGCTGCTCATTTGTTATTTCAGTAGATATAGTTGGTTTAATGAAATAATCGAAATGAGGATGCAAGAATTTTTGTTTGGCATATTCAAGCAATTTTTGATCGATAAAATTATTTTGAGAATTAATTCTAATTTCATAATGATTTTGAAATGATTCGATTGCAAAACTTTGAGGATTGACGTTCACTTCACTATTTAATGGAATAATTGTAATGGATTGAATGTGGTTCTGAATATTATTTAGAAATGAACGAAGTACACCATTGGCACGCCAGGATTCAAATAAACGCTCGATTTGATATATGTTGATGTTCCATTTTGGAAAAGTGTTATTTGTATACTCACGATAATTGATAAAACAACTTCGAATTTCTTGTAAAGCTATTTCTCGATTTTTTGGGTAAAGTCTTGGTGGAAAATTAATACGATGCGATTGAACGGATGTTTCCTGGATGTTTTTATAACGCATGAGTTCAGGATATGGAAGAGTTCGTAGTGATGTTGTTGATGATTTCAGAAATGATTTGAGTAGTTGAAAATAAAACGGTTGAGTATTATGTTTACGAGAAATGTAACGAAGAAAGTCTAAGAGTATTTCTAAACGTTCAATTTCATACTGTTGATTCGGACTTTGTTCTGCCTTTAGTTGTTCAATTAATTTAAATAAACCAATCCAGATATTTTTCGGTTGATATTCATTTGTTAGCCATCGAGATAATGGAAAACATGTCAATAATGAACTATCTCTTAGATATACATCTTCATTGGAATATAAATAATCAGCAAGTCGAAGAGGATTATTGTAAGTAGTTGATAATGTAGAACTTTCCCATACTGGTTGGTATGATTTTGTTATATTTGTTGATCAAATTTCTGCTTCCATCTGAGGAGATAATCGTGCTGTCGGATTACATGAATCTCGATAATCCCAATAGAGTTTAATCAATACTTTTTCGTTGTATTCCTGGCTTTCAAACAACTTCTGTATGCCATGAGATGTATTTGTTGAATACATAAACTTCCATTGTTCACTTGCTTCATATAATTTCTTCGCTAATAAATAATAACCAAAATGTGGAATGGAATAAGGTAAATTTTGAGTGTTCCAATCGATTTTTACCATACATGTCTGATGTTCAGGATAATAATTTACTTTTGGAGATAAAGATGCAATTTGGGAAAGGATATTCAGAGAAATTGGATCGTATGGTTGATCAGACCAAGATCCAGCTGAATTCAATAGTTGAAAAGAACGTTCCATACCAGTCATTCCTGTATATTGATCTGGTAAAGGATGTGATGTCATTGCATGCAATAATGCTAAATAGAGCCATCCAGTTGGACTATCAGTTGATTGAAGAATATGTAATCGATCATTTAAAATAAAAACAAAATATTGATGAAGTGATGTTCCTGATGAAGCCTTTCGTTCTATAGTAACAGTTTGATGACTTTTATCTGATGTGTTTTCAACTTGAACATGTCCATAAGGAATAATCAATTTTCGACAGAGACGATATTTATTTTGTTGATTATTTATAGTCATGGGTGATAGGAGAAGACCAACTTTTAAACCTGTTAATGTTCCAAACCATTGATTTTCATCGATATGCATATCCGGATATTCACGAGAGGTGATCACATTTTGATCGATGTCATATCTGAAAGCAATACCTAATCGAGATAAATGTATATGAATAACAGCACCTAACTTCGCTTTGGCATTTTCCCAAACAATGTCTCGTAACATGTACACATAAGGTGCATCATCGAGACGAATAAAAAAACGTTCAAATAAGTTTTTAAAGAAAGAGGATGATTGATTGATTAATACTTGTGTTGTTTCCATATTTTTTGTCGTAACCAATCCTGTTTTGATTATTAGAGTATAATGTTTATCAGTAAGAAAATTTGAATCTTGAAAACGTCTTGGTCGAAATTCGATCGTTTCAGTGTTCTCATTCTTCCAATGACTATAATTCGAGATGAATATATCCGGTAATTCCTTTTCGAATCAATTGGAAGGAATCAATTCAAATCTCTTGTTTGTTTGATTATGTCGTTCTTGAATTGTCAGACGATGGGGGTAATTATTGTAATTAAATTCATAATGAACTTTTCCATCTGTATGATATCCATGTTTAGTAATATAAGTATCCTTTTTGTTTGATGGTTGGACTTCAAAAAGTTGCTTCCCAAAGACACCAATAAACAATTCATCCGACGTCATTTTTTCAGGTAAAAAACCAATCGTCACTTTATCGACTAAAAATGTACCTGTTATACAATTAATCGATACTTTATTTGATCCATACTGAGCACTATATAGACCATCATAGATATCCGTGTCACATTTTATCCATTTTCCATCAGTTGTACTGCTACTTTTGTTCACTGCCCAATATTCAGCAGTAAACTTATTTAAACTTTCGTAGGAAGTGTTTTGAAGGAATTGATTCAGAATTGGTTGTAGCAATATAAGATTACGTTGATTGAATCGCATTAGATTTCTAATGAAAACACTTACACCCATTTGTTTTTTTCTCAAAATAAGATTATCTTGAACGGTCGTCGCTAGTTTAAGTAAACAGATAACATGTTCATTCGATAATGACATACGATCAGCATTGTCTATATGTAATGAAAATGTCAATAAACCTGCCAGACCAATACTCCTAAGTTTATCACGTAATGTCTCAACTTTATCAAATTCTAACGACGATGGATTATGAATACTTTCCGAGATTAGTTCAATCCATTTTTCAGCTATCTTACGACATTTTAAAGCCAAATCAATCATTTGAGTTTTCTTCGTTGAATTACAAATAGTCAATATTCTCATAACAATGATTGTAAGAATTACTAGCACTAATTCATGTTGCCAATTACATTTACATTCATTTAAACGAAGATCTACTCGTAAGATTAATTCATCAACAAAACCATCATCTAATAATTGTTGATGTGATTCTGGACACCAATAACAAATAAGATTCTCTCGATTATCTGTCACGGGACCATATTGCAAAAGCGAATGTATAATAAGAATGGCAACACTTTCCTCATTCATTGATAGAGAATCTAATTCTAATATACTCAAAAGATTCCACCATTGTAAACGATGACCAGAACGAAATGAACCGAATTCGATGAATTGTGATGACTTGACTGATGATGAACAATTCGATAGTTGAGCAATTACACGATTTTGTACGAATTGCGTATTATCAACAGAAAACTGTAAAAGTTTGTAATTTGAATCGGTTAATTGAGGAGTTAATGTTCGGCATTCATCCTGAAATGCAACTGGCTTCGTTGGAGAGATCTGTACATGTAAACTGTTCTCCAATAAAAAATCTTCCAAAATTGTACATGAAATCGGTCTTGGTGCAAAATAATGAGTTTGTGATATAGATTTAGTTGATGATACTAATTTTACTTTACGATTGCATGAAGCAGTGTTGTATTGACTTAGTTTACTTCTATGAGGAGAAATACTCAACCATTCGTGCATGTTATTCGATGGTACCAGAGTCGGCCGGTTAATAAATTGCCAAAGTATATCTCGATAACATCGAATTTCGATAGACATTTGTAATTCAAAGATCACAGCTAATGCACTTTCGCGTCTCGATGGTATTGGGCATTCATAAATCTCCACTTTCATACTGTTTGCTTTTTGAACCATCTTACATCGATTACATTTTGTATAAGGATATTCTGTTTTACATTCACATATGAGTTCAGTTGCTTGTTTCATCAGTTCATCATATTTTGCTTTCTCTTGGATCACTTCTTCTCTTTTAGCGCTTTTATCCTTTTCAACTTGCGCTTGAATTTCTGTCAAAACTTTAATCATCTGTTCTGATCGATCGGCAAAATATACCCCAAATGCATTCTTCGAATCGACATTACTTAATAGGTCGGGATATTGTTTTGCACTAAATTCTTGGAAATAATCGTAAAGAATTCGAGCTCGAATCATCTCTTCTCGACTTGGTAAAACTAAAAGTTCAAATAACTCCAAGAGATTCGGAATTTGAATGGCATGAGATTTCAATCTTTCGAATCGTTGATCTTTACATAATTTCATGTGAATAAAACGAATTATTCTTAACGATGTTAGAATATATCGACTATAACCAATTGGATCCGTAAAATTATTTTCTGAATAATAGTGTTTTAGAGCTGTTCGTTGATAATCTTCGAAAAAACTTTGTAAATCTTCAAAACGTTTGCCTCCATTATCGGATGATAAAGCATGCTCGATCCATCGTTCTAAATAAGTTTGTACCCAAATTTCGACACGTGTTAAGGCAAAATCGATGGTTTTATTCTTGGAATTACTCAAAGCGGTGACGAAAGGTAATTCATTATCTTCGTTTTTGATACTTGTGGACACTAACTGAACAGAATTATAATCGCGAGAAAATGGTCGATACGAGGAAGACGATTGAGGTCTTTTTAAATAATCTTTTAATTTCGTACAAGAATGTCGATAGATTTCAGGTTGATTGCGATTCAATAGACGAATTTGTTTTTCATTTATATGAATATGGTTTTGCCAATTTGATCTTGGAAAAATATGTTCAATTTTCTCTTTGATTTGTTCTGTGGCAGTTTCCATCCATTGTTTCACATCATTTAAATCGGTAGTTAATGACATATGTTCAATTTTATTCAATCTTCGAACAATTTTTCGAAGACAATGGACGAGTAAATCAATCGATATTTGTGTATCTTTTGAAGCTTGTCTCATATGAATGAAATAAGTGAGAAAATTCGTGATCAGTAGCTTATAAACGACATTACCAATCTTGCCCAAACGTTTTGTTAGAATAGTCTGAAGAATGACTTTCATCGTCATCCATAAACCAGAACGTCGAAAAGGTGATGTTGAATATGAATATTTGCAGCGTATTTGATCACGATATTTTTTCTTAAATTGAATTGATGTATCCGCAAGATTTTCGTTTTTTATGCCTGAAAATTGTGTTATCCACCATTGACAAACATAATGAGCGATTGGTACTTCACGTGTTTCGTTGAACAAATAAGATGCTTTCAAAGATGTGGCATATTCAATGGTATTAGTCATAAACTCGACTAACAACTCGCACTGGACTGAAGAAGTCAATTGAGAAGAATCTGATAATCGAAATGTTGGCGTTGGATAGTAGGATACATATGGTTGCAAAGATGATGTGACTGTTTTTGTTGGTAATAATACTTGCCAAGATGATATTAATGGTTGATTAAGAGGATTTTCATCTATTTCAATCAAAATGGCAGCATTTTGAGCATGACAATACAGCGGAAGGAAATCACCAGGTGTCAGCTTTCTAATAGCCGATTGTAAATTTGATATGGTGCAATTTTGTATATTCTGTATTACTGACCAATTTTGAATACAGTTCTTAAGAATTGAAAAGATCGGTAGAGTTTTTTGCGGAGCTAAAGATTCCAAAAATTCATTGAAACTTTCCAGAAGTCTATATCCATTTTGATGTTTATATTGAATTAAATAATCAGCATCTGCTGATGTTGGTAGTTCATAAGGAAGAAATAAATGATTTAAAATCGATTCATTCAAACTGTGCGTAGACATCGAATGATAACTGTGGCTCGCGTATTCTTAATATAAGTTTGTAGGAAAAATCTGAAAAACCATTAGAGGTACAAATGTTGATAAAGAAACAGCGCTCCCTGTGATTGAAAACAGCGATTCTTTTGTTTTTCACTTTCTGTTTAACATAGCAATACCTCCTATGACTGCAGAAGCGGTAAATCTGAATAATGTCGAAAATAAGAATGCTGAATGGAAGTAAGACCGAAAGTAAAATATCAAAAAAGTATAATGTCGAAGGGAAAAAAATGTCGAAAGGATGCGCGTGGATGCGGGTAAGGGCGAAGGTGTAAATGTGGGTGTGAATGATCAATGAAAAGAATATCCAGACGTATCCACCCGCACTCATTCTCAATAATATTGGTTATTTATATATTGTATTATATCCATCGACGGTCATTGCCATTTTGCTTGCAATTCTTCGAGGATCTGATTTCTGTGTTCAACCATTCTAACTACACATGAAAAATTTAAAAAAAAATTTCACTTTGGACATTATTCAGATGAGTCTGCAGAAGCCATCACATGGTTTCAAATATTCCTTATCAACAAGCATAAACACATGAAAAAATCTAGAAAAATCCATTCAATCCACAGACAATTGTAAACTCGTATGCACTTTCTATGCTGTTCATGTAGTTAGAAAACATAGTTTTAAAAATCAAGCAAGCATTGAGTAAAACATAACTTGTCACTAATATAGTATTCGTGTTACGTACCTGTCGTTTATGCAGTTTAGTATATGTGATGCGATTTTACACTTTTATCAACACTAATAAAAGAACTTCTACTGGGAAAAAACCCACAACAAAGCTCGAAAATAATTATGTGATCCAGTAAGCGACTGCTGTTGTGAGATGTCACTGAATTCCAGACAAAGAACGTAAAACAATAACGATTACATATAGATGAGAAGCTAGCACGACGCAACGAGCTAGCACGACTGGAAAAAAAATTCATTGCATATAAGGATCAACCAAACGAAAAAACACCATTTTGAGCGATTGAGCAATCTTAATGGCCGCAGATAGCAATACATATAAATATGTAGGGAGTGGATGTGTGGGTGTGAGGGTGGGTGGATGTGGATGCCCACGAAAAAATTTTTTATAAAAGTTTGCGTTTGAACGCCAACTTTTACTAAAAAACGCTATTATTGCGTTCGAACGCATGTTGCTCTGTCTTCAACACGTCGAAACGCATCCTTGTCAATTCGAAACGCGTTGAAACGTATTATTGTTAATTCACAACGCGTTGAAATGTTTTTTTTCTATTGAGGACGTGTTTTTTTAACTATAACGCGACCTCAAAACATCGTTCGAACGCGGTACTTTCCATACGTTCGTATGCCTTAATTTGCCCTGCTTCTCAACCCGTTTTTTCTTCTTGAAAAATAGCGTTTTCTTGCAGATGCTCTAGCACGCATATTTTAACGCATGTTGTTACTTAAAAACCGAGAATTTTTGCACGAAGGGGGTAGAGCACGCTTTGTTAGATTTTTCTTTTGCAGAACATGAGATTCTTTACAAAAAACTTCTGTGAATGTTTATATTCGTATTTTCAGTAAAAACATCATTATTAATATTCAGAACCTATTAGGCTCCATGAATTTGTTTTCACAAAATCCTCCAACGTCTGAAAAGGTTAATGAAAAAAAGATTAATTTAAAAAAATTAATTTAAAAAAATAAAAATTTTGTGTAAAAAAATTTAAATTTACTATAAAACTAATTTCTCGTAATTTAATTTAATTTTGAATTTAACTTGACGTGAATTTAAAGTTAAAATAAACAAAATTCAAAATTAATCCTTCTATTCAATAAATATAGGTATTCCGGTGTATTAGTACCATGTGTAAGTCAAGTTCAATGGGTGTGGGTGTGGGTGTGGGTGTGATTCTTCTCTTAGCACATACCCAGACATCCACACCCACACCCACACCCACACCTCTACCAATGCCATTAGACTATTGATGCATATCTCAGCGATTAGCCTATGAAAATTTGTATCTATGAACAAGATGATCACTGTTTCTATTCTCTATTGTCTATATTTTTCAAATAAGTATTGCATATATATGAAATAAATAACATTCTAGAATATTCGAATAGCATGAAGAGAAGAATTTCGGCGGTTTAGTGGTTTTTCGCGAGATGTTATATTGTAGATTCTCTTCAACGCCACTACAGTATTAAGTTGTTCGAGTAAAATGAACATATTTATTTTAGATTTTTATTTTTGTTTACTCATTCTTAACAATAGAATTTAATACTCTGATGAAATAACAATAGTATTTTGTTAATATAGACATTGATAAAGAGACGTCGTATGATCACGTCTTCATAACTGAAGAAAACGAATTCGTCTCACATGGAACAATTGCCATCAGAAATACATTGCAAATATGAGTGTAAGTATTACATATACATCAATCAGCAGATATTCACACCTGCACTTCGTCAACATATGAAATTTTATTAATGAACAAGAAAAGGAAGTTTTTATTAGCTTTAAAGGCACTATATCTCACTTCACATACTTTAAGTTTTTGTTTGATTTATGTTTTCCCAACCAAAAATAATGATCATTTTCATTACTAAATATCATACAATTCGAACTGTTGAATATAGTCTGTTCTTTTTGTAACCATGCCATATCGACTAGTGGTATTGTTGTTCCCAAAATATTAACATGTAAANCACGTCGACAAGAAAATGGTAAAACACGTCGATTTAATAAACCACCTAATTTACATCGTAATGATTGATAAATCATTGGAAATAAAGATTTTAATACAATTATACGAACCAGACTTGATGATGATGAACTTAAATTAAGTGCTAAAATTGGAAGAACAACTGAAGTTTTTCCTTCACCCATATTCATTTGCATGACAATATTACGTATTGAAGAATTGTTTCCTGTTATTTTTGGATTCATCATATGACGTGCAACTTGAATTTGAATTTCTCGAATGGTAATATTCATTTCTAATTCCATAATTAACCATGGAACATGCTCTGCTGGTATCCAATTTGTATGAGGAATATTGGAGATTTCTTTTTCAAAATCTTCCCATTTGTCATGAATAGCGAGATGTAATGCTCGTTCAATTTGTTGTTCGACAATGCAGTTAACAAGAATACCACCGAGTAATGTGCATTGATCAGTAGTTAAGAATAATGACGGTGAATTATTGATATTGATGTCTTTTTTTAATGAGATTTCTTGTAAGATAGATATTAATGTTGTTGGTACGATTCTTATCGTTAAACCAGTTTTGAATAATAATTCATTATTTAATTCAATTGATTTGGTTAATTCATGCCACATTTGTGTCGATTGTTCACAATAGGATTTGAGAAAATTGTTGATTTCGTTTATATCCGGATATTTTCTTTGATATTCTTTAGTTGCTTGAAATTTTGTCCAACTTTCTATGAGATATTCTTTAAAATGATTAGCAATATCACTGAGAGGATTAAGTTGAGGATCTGTCGAAGGAATTATTTCTTTGGGGAACGCCTTTTGCTGCTCATTTGTTATTTCAGTAGATATAGTTGGTTTAATGAAATAATCGAAATGAGGATGTAAGAATTTTTCTTTGGCACATTCAAGCAATTTTTGATCGATAAAGTTATTTTGAGAATTAATTTTAATTTCATAATGTTTTTGAAATGATTCGATTGCAAAATTTTGAGGATTGACGTTCACTTCACTATTTAATGGAATAATTGTAATCAATTGAATGTTGTTCTGAATATTATTTAGAAATGAATGAAGTACACCATTGGCACGCCAAGATTTAAATAAACGCTCGATTTGATATGTGTTGATGTTCCATTTTGGAAAAGTGTTATTTGTGTACTCACGATTATTGATAAAACAACTTCGAATTTCTTGTAAAGCTTTTTCTCGATTATTTGGGTAAAGTCTTGATGGAAAATTAATACGATGCGATTGAACGGATGTTTCCTGAATGTTTTCATAACGTTTGGGTTCAGGATATGGAAGAGTTCGTAGTGATGTTGTTGATGATTTCAGATATGATTTGAGTAGTTGAAAATAAAACGGTTGAGTATCATGTTTACGAGAAATGTAACGAAGAAAGTCTAATAATATTTCTAAACGTTCAATTTCATATTGTTGATTTGGACTTTGTTCTGTCTTTAGTTGTTCAATTAATTTAAATAAACCAATCCATATACATTTCGGTTGATATTCATTTGTTAACCATCGAGATAATGGAAAACATGCCAATGATGAACTATCTTTTAGATATACATCTCCATTGGAATATAAATAATCAACAAGTCGAAGAGGATTATTATGAGTAGTTGATAATGTAGAACTTTCCCATACTGGTTGATATGATTTTGTTATATTTTTTGATCGAATTTCTGCTTCCATCTGAGGAGATAATCGTGCTGTCGGATTATATAAATCTCGATAATCCCAATAGAGTTTAATCAATACTTTTTCGTTGTATTCCTTGCTTTCAAACAACTTCAGTATGCCATGAGATGTATTTGTTGAATACATAAACTTCCATTGTTCACTTTCTTCGTATAATTTCTTCGCTAATAAATAATAACCAAAATGTTGAATAGAATATGGTAAATATTCAGTGTTCCAATCAATTTTTACCATACATGTCTGATGTTCAGGATAATAATTTACCTTTGGAGATAAAGATGCAATTTGTGAAAGTATATTCAGAGAAATTGAATCGTATGGTTGATCAGACCAAGATCCAGCTGAATTTAATAGTTGAAAAGAACGTTCCATACCAGTCATTCCTGTATATTGATCTGGTAAAGGATGGGATGTCATTGCATGTAATAATGCTAAATAGAGCCAGCCAGTTGGACTATCAATTGATTGAAGAATATTTAATCGATCATTTAAAATAAAAACAAAATATTGATGAAGTGATGTTCCTGATGAAGCCTTTCGTTCTATAGTAACAGTTTGATGATTTTTGTCTGATGCTTTTTCAACTTGAATATGTCCATAAGGAATAATTAGTTTTCGACAGAGACGATATTTATTTTGTTGATTATTTATAGTCATGGGTGATAGAAGAAGACCAGCTTTTAAACCTGTTAATGTTCCAAATGATTGATTTTTATCGATGTGCATATCTGGATATTCACGAGAGGTGATTATATTAAGATGAATGTCATATCGGAAAGCAATACCTAATCGAGATAAATGTATATGAATAACAGCACCAAGCTTTGCCTTGGCATTTTCCCAAATAATGTCTCGTAACATGTACACATAAGGTGCATCATCGAGACGAATAAAAAAACGTTCAAAGAAGGTTTTAAAGAAAGAGGATGATTGATTGATTAATACTTGTGTTGTTCCCATATGTTTCGTCTTAATCAATTCTGTTTTGATCGTTAGAGTATAATGTTTATCAGTAAGAAAATTTGAATCTTGAAAACATCTTGGTCGAAATTCGATCTCGCCAGTGTTCTCATTCTTCCAATGACTATAATTCGAGATGAATATATCCGGTAATTCCTTTTCGAAACAATTCGAAGGAATCAATTCGAATCTTTTGTTTGTTTGATTATGTCGTTCTTGAATTGTCAGACGATGGGAGTAATTATTGTAATTAAATTCATAATGAACTCTTCCATCTGTATGATATCCATGTTTAGTAATATAAGTATCCTTTTCGTTTGATGGTTGTACTTCAAAAAGTTGCTTCCCAAAGACACCAATATACAATTCATCCGACGTCATTTTTTCAGGTAAAAAACCAATCGTCAATTTATCGACTAAAAATGCACCTGTTAAACAATTAATTGAAACTTCATTTGATCCATACTGAGCTTTATATCGACCATCATAGATATCCGTGTCAAATTTTATCCATTTTCCATCAGTTGTACTGCTACTTTTGTTCACTGCCCAATATTCAGCAGTAAACTTATTTAAACTTTCGTAGGAAGTGTTTTGAAGGAATTGATTCAGAATTGGTTGTAGCAATATAAGATTACGTTGATTGAATCGCATTAGATTTCTCATAAAAACACTTATACCCATTTGTTTTTTTCTCAAAATAAGATTATCTTGAACGGTCGTCNTGGGGCGCGGGTGAGGGGCGGGGGTGGGGGCGGGGGGGTGGATGGGGCGGTGGGGGGGCGTGGGCAGGAGTGTGGGTGCGGGTGTGGGTGGGTGTCAGTGTATGTAATTCCTTCATCCTCACCCACACCCATACCCACACCCACACACCCACACCACCCACATCCCACACCCATACCCACACACCCACACCACACACCCACAGCCACAGCCACACACCCACACCATACCCACACCCCACACCCACACCCTTGTGGGTCATTAGGGCATTATTTCTGAAAAATGCGTTGAAACTTCGAAAAATAATGCATTACTATTAATTATTTGATCTATTCCACCAAATAATGGAAAATAATGGATCATTTTTGCATTATTTATGCATTATCGGCTACATGGGATACTATCCCAAATTGAACATGTTTACACTGGGATGTCGTCAGATTTCGTTGGAATTGGATTGTTGCACATAATCGGTTTCTAGCTACAGGATCCCTTTGTTAGGGATGTCAGTTTCGAGTTCCACTAGCAGATACAGGAACCCGAAGCGGACTTCCGTGCCTAAGAACTCGGAGCAGGCTTCGAACCTAGAAACCCGGGAACCATTGTGACTTGATATAAATGGAAAGAAAGTGCATGTCTAAGAATCTCTGACTGCTGGTCGATACGTGGAAACCAATTTTCAAGTGGGTTCTCGTTTCTCAGGAATGGAAACCCAAGGAACGGGAACCCTGACACTCCTAACCTTTGTAATTCTATCGGCCGAACACTCGTCGATTTTTTGTCAAACTGTTGAATTCTAAAACATACGATCAAAGTCCGTTCGGATTATTCGATCATAGGAGTATTGCATTGAATATATTATTTTCTCTTACTCAAATATGTAGAATTGGCAAATTCATATCCAACATATGCGGAAAAAAGTCAACATGAAGCTTACGCTGAAGAAAAAAAGCAAAACCAAAATAATTATTCAAGTTTGTATTCAGTCGAATTTCTGAAAGATTTTCAATATCAGCTATGCTTTTAGATACAACTAAAATATTTCCTGTGGTACAAACCACAATTTCTGAGAATAAAACTTCTCTACCAGCAATCGTATACATTTCAGATTTACCAATAGACAAGCCTGATACTAATTTAGAACAAGTCATACATTCACGTTTAGAAGTTGGATATCGTATTCAAATTTCGAAAGTAGAGTGTTTTTCAAAATTAGGCATTGCTGTTATTAATTTAGTCAAACAAGAAGATAAAGATTATTTAGTTAATAATTTGCAACGTATTGTTTTATATCCTAATGATAATATTACAGTAACTTGTACCGAACAATTGGAAGTAACATCTTATATACTTTTGGATAAGAATACAACAGTACCTACTATTGATGCTATTGCACGTCGATGGTCAGATCTATCTTCTTCAACTGATCGTCCAAAATTTAAAAACTTATCAGCACAATTTCCTAATATAATCCAAGTAACATCATTCTCAATCGAGGCAATACAAGCTATTACTAAATTTGGCGTTTTTCAAATTGAAGGTCAAATCGCAAAAGTGTACACTCATGTTGATTGTAGCTATCTTGAGGAACTACCTCATTTACAACCAAAACTTGATGAAAATCGAATTTTTTGTTTTATTGCGACACAACTTAACATGAACGAGCGCGCACGTATGGATAAAGATCTATGTCAAAAACAAGCCTACGATCTTCTTCAACAGATTCAATCACTTCATCAACCTATGAAAGAATTAAAATCGCAGGTTTATATTCAGTATAACGAACAATCTTCAAATGCAATTATTCTTGCTTCGAATTGTTTACATAAATGGGTTTCGATGAAATTTGTTAATATTAATGGTCAGCTTATATTCAAAACAGCGAATATATCTACTAAACTTATTATTAAATCAATTCCTCCTGATTTTCCACTTCGTTTAATATTTGATCATGCAGTTTTTCGAAAGTCTATTAGGGAAGATGTTTACAAGTTGATTGGTGAACATCTTGTTGTTGAAATAAATGACAAGTTGATTTATGAACAATGCCTGAAAGTTGGTGCTTTTGAAGTAATAAACAATAGTGACCGTTTAATGTTACGTATACTTCCATTTACTATTCTTGATGATCCTGATAATAGTGAGATTAATATCGAAAATTGGTATGGTACACGAATGCAAAATCATAAACCGGATATAACTCAATTTGATTCTCGTCATCCGATCTTTCGTTATAAATGGAATTCAAAACTTTGGCTTGATCAATTCATGCAAAATAAAAAAGAACTTGAACAAAGGATAGATAAAGATGAACGTCGTCAAAACGACTTTATTCGACGTATGCTCCGTGTCACTGTTATGCTAAATACTATGGCAGTGATGCGCATGCGTAAATATATTCTAGAAGATTCCGCAACCAAAACTGAAGTATCCATTGAACCTCCATCTCCCCTTGTTACTATTCTATACAATAAGGAGTCGAAATTGACTCGAGTCGGTCAAACATTTACACCTCCATTTAACTCTACTACTGTAGATGTTTTAAACGAAGATTGTCTTGTTTCATATCATACTCTTAGTACATCTTATATGAAACCACTTCTTTTGAACATGGCTAATTCAACAACGCCCGGTGGAGGCTATCGAAAAGGTGACGGTGCTCAAGAAGAAAATCTTTTTCGTCGTTCTAATTACTATATGAGTCTTGATCCCAATATGGATCAAGAATTAGATCAATCTATCAATACTGAAAGAAATTATTGCTCAAATACAGGAGAAGTAGTACGATTGAGTGATCATCAATCGTTATATCCAATCGATGAATATGGAGCTATTTATACATCAGGCATTACAGTATTTCGTAACACTGAAGATCAAGGCTATTCATTGTTAAACCGACCATTGTATGATGTTTGTGCAGTAGCGATTGCTGCATATCGCGATCCACAAGTATTGAAAAATAAACAACGACTTGTTCCAAACATTGCCGTTGCTACTCGCAAGAAAATCGAAAGCTTATTTGCTATTGCTTATAGAAATGGACATCACTCATTAGTACTATCTGCGTTCGGTTGTGGCGCATTCAAAAATCCGTAAGTACTCTTTTTTACTCTTTCAGTGTAACGTAACATCATATTACACAGAACAAGGTGTTAGTTTTGGGTTCCGTGACTAGGAATTCTAGATCTACTGCGAGTTTCCGTCCCTACAAACCTGAGAACCTATTGTGATATGTCACACAGTGAAAGCAAAGATTAACAAAAGAATCAGTGCGTTCAAAAACGTACTAAAATAATTTTTTTTAATGCATTCGCGTTCCTTAAGAACAGAACCCTAATAAACGAGAAATCAGATACTCCTTGATAGAATTCTCTTTCCAATGAATAGGTAAACGAATTGAAACTTATTGAACAGGTAAAAAATTGTCTGTACTAATGAAAGATATGATTGATTAATTAATCATTTCACTAGAGCAGGGCATGTGTAATTATCTGTGAACAGAAATAGCATAAACTATAATTGTGAATTTTTATGAACGATCGGTACTGTCTGCTACATATTTTCCTAGTCGAAGATCACTAGTCAAAGCAGTATTACATGATGTAAAGACCGATGGTATTCGATCAAATACAATAGTAGAGCATCATAGTTAGAAAGTAACATAACTATAGAATTCTGCACGCACAGATGACACTAGCTCAGGCGATTTACTAACGCTTCAAAATAAAAGTCATTTTATCCACTTATTCGATTATTTAATATTAAATCTTGCTTGTGTTTGATTTACCACAATATTGCACGGAATGAATGTACAGAAAATTTCGATAAAAGAAAAAGGATAGCATTCTCAATACGGTTTAAAAGAAAATTAAAAGGCTGTTCACAGACGACATGTACGAAAAATAAATCTCTTCGGTATCAAATAAATATAACACTATTAGTTTACAATATTAGAAAACAAAAATTGCTTTGTTACTTGATTATAATTTTATTTCTAGACCTGAACACATCGCTCTGATATTCAAGTCAGTAATCCTTCAATATGCTGGTTATTTTAAAAAAATAGTCTTCTCAATAATTGATGATCATAATACTGGTCAACGTTTAAATCCCAATGGCAACTTTCTTCCATTTCAACAAATTCTCGATAAATTTGTCGCATATCCGCCTGCCGTACAAACAATTGGAATGTCATTAGGGCCATTTCGTGTGATTCAATCTAGTACCAAAAATCAAAATACTAAGATCGAAGAATTTATCACATTTAATGTACCACCGTGTGAGCAAGCTGCATATTGTCAAAAAATGAATGATCAACATCATTGTCAGTCCTGTTCTCATCCACCAATATGTCCACTTGGCTCTGAGTGTACTGAAAATGATGATGATGTACATTGTCAAATGTTTATTCATCGCAAACAATGTTCCGATAAGGGTCAATGTATTCTAACTGATTGTCGTCATTTAGCTGATTTTGATCATCCTGAATATTGTCCTGATGGAAGTAATTGCGTTAATATGAGAACTGATCATTTGAATCTTTATCGACATTTACCAATATGTGATGACGGTTTAAATTGTGATCTTAAATTCAGAAGAGTAGCTCAGCACCTCGCTCAATTTCGACATTGTCAACGTTCATGTAAATTCGGTGGTTATTGTATTCTTTTTCATGATCAGAAACACATTTCTGATGAACAACATCCATTTAATCCTCCTTGTCCATATACACCTTTTTCATGTAAATTCCATACTAATTTTGTACAAACAAACAATCCAAAAAATCAAAATGCAATGAATGAAATAACAAAACATTGTTATCGTTATTCACATATATGTCCATGGGGTCGTTTATGTACTGATCAAAGTGAAGAACACTTATCAACGACAATTCATATAGCACGACAAATGTGTCCGAATGGAAATGATTCATGCAATCGAATGAAAGAAGAAGATCATCTTGATTCATTTAGCCATAAAAATGTACGAGATATTCGTGTGTTATGTCATTATCCAGGTTCTGAATGTCGTGATCGTGGAAAAATTGAACACAATATTAAATATCGACATAATTATATGTTAAATTATTTAGGTGTAACACCATTCTTTGGATTAAATAAAAACATTCATTTTATTGAAAATCAAATTAATATGATTCGAATGATTCGTGATTATGTAGAGAAAACATACAAACAAACATGGACAAAAGTTTCTGTTCCAAGAGATTTATTAGAATGGATTGCTGCTCTTCAACCTATTCATCGATGTGCTGGACCTATTTTTGAATCGATTCTTGTACTTGGACATGTTATGAGTCGTTTTTACATGGAAAGATTAAAAGATCCGACATTTGTCGCTGATACTATTGATCAACATAAACGTGTACGAACAATACTTGCTAGTCAAGTGCCCGCATTGCAGAAGACTGCTCGTGACTTTATTACAGCACTGGTTCGTATGGAGTTTAATAAAGGCAAAGGTGATGATGATCAAGACCGACAAAATATCAGTGGTACGCTCGAATATCTTCTCCATTCAAAAGAACAAACTTTAAAACCTCACCTGTCACAATCAGATCTAGATGAAATTCGTCTTTGTGCTAGTGAAATCGCTCAAGCATCAATCAAATTGCATTCTAATATGACAGGCATAGGACACAAAGGTGATGAAGACTTTGAAACACATCAACAAGTATTTAGTATACTTGGTCCACATTTCGCTCAATATTATGGTGATATTGTCATTATTTTTAAACGCGATGTTATGCTACATCCTGATTCGAATTTTACGATGCAAGCCGCCACCATGTATAAAGAGAAAACCTTTAAATGTCGTCCATGGCTCAGTGATTCTGGTTCAGAAGCAGGCCGAATTAAACAATTCCATTCAACAAAACTTCATTGTTCAATACCTGGCTATGCGTATGTCACTGCCCTAGAACTCATGGCTATTACGGGAACACAACGAAAAACGATGAATGTTGACTTAAGCAGTATTTTACATCGATGGAAACAGATAGATGGACATCAAGTAATAGAAGCGCATTTACCACAACTTATACCTTTAAGCTACATTGAACATATATATATGCCAAAAAATGTCTTCGAATCACTTTCACCAGAAGCTCAAAAAAATGCTCAAGAATTATTTCAACATAATTTAACAGTGACAAATTATGAGGTAGATCTTAAGATTAATCCTATGGCATTTAGTAAACCAGATGATTCACGAAAAGAATATGAAAACTATGTAATGGATCAAATATTAAGATCAATTCGTAGACAGCAAGAGCGCAATTCATTCTTATCAACATCTCATTTATTAACATCATACGGAATGACAATAACCATATCAGCAACACATTTTGAAAATCTTATCACTAATCCACTAACTATCACGCAATCATATAATCAATATTTAAATCAATCTGATAAAACCTCTACAGGGGATGGAAATATTTATATATACTGGAAAGCATTACGAGGAGATTTCATGTTGATATTGACAAATGAAATGATCGAAACTGGCAAGGTTCAACCTAAACTTGTTTATCTTACATGTTACATTGCTCCGTTTGTTACTATTGTAGATAGTGATATTAACTATAACGAATATCATACATATATAAATCCTTCGTCACCAGCAGCACACAAAATAGTTCTTGAAGGACAACATTTTAAAGCTGGATCAAACAAATTTCATAAAGGTTGTAATTCAAATGATTACATTCTTTATTGCTTAAAATTGAATCTAAAAAAAAGACAAGTATCATTGATGAATGCAGGTATTAATGGAATTTATAATCATACAATATTAAAATATACATTTGAAGAAAATGAGTTGGATTTAGCATCACTTGATTATATTCATCTTAGCGCAGGTCGTGAAACTGTTTCAATACGTAATTTAGTTATCAGTCATGAAATGATTCCAGATGCTCACCCAAAATTCGATAAAGAATTTCTCAATCATATCAATGATACTCATGCTAAAAGTACAACTGACAGTATAATGCAAAGTGAAAATGTGTCGAGCGAATGGACAGACATTGATGCCACATCGGAAGAAAATGAGAATAATGATAAACATTGGACAATTTCTCATATGATACCTCAACCTATCAAGCACTTGGTCAGTAAATATTGGCCAAGACATGGAGATCAATCAGAAGAAGAAGAAGAAAAAGACAGTGATGAGTCAAAAGAAAATCAACAAATCAAACATCTAACACCATGCAAATATTCAATATATTGCCTTGATCAATATTCTCCTGAAAAATCCTTGAGCCATAATCAAACTTATTCGCATCCGTGTCGTTTCTCGGAATTATGTCGAAATATTCGTGATGTACCTCATAGTATACAGTTTACACATAGTAAAAATGATGTATCACTATGCAAACAAGATGAACACTGTTCCCTTGTGATCGATCCTGTTCATCGTTGTTCTTGTAGACATAGTAATTTACCAGACTATTTAGTTCCTTGTCGAGATCAACAGAAATGTCATAATTCGACAATTGCACATCGAAAAAAATATTTTCACGGTGAAAAAGTCAAGAGACCAATAGTAATTCAAAATATTCCAAAAGGTAAAAATAAAAGCTTATTAGCGTAGCCCCTTTGGGGCTGAAATGTGGAACTCAAATATCTCCTTTGGTTTCATTATACTAATGACAAAATGCCCAATATTTAAAATCTCTAAAAGATAATAGTTCTTTTCTAAAGATAATCGATTATTAGAAAATGTTACATTTGTGTCTCTAAATTTCGAACAGAAACTTTTATTTTCACGCTGTTGTCAAGGTCTGTAAGGGGGGAGGGGGGTATGTGTATGTAATGTTCTTTTTGGTTGCTATGGTCTGTAAGGGAAGGGGAGAGCCGCAAAACCTCGAACTTAAAGCTTACACTCACTATTTTGTTCGAAAATATATGTGAGTTTCACAAAATGACGAATATAGAAATTCATCCTTCTTCTATAATTATAGAAACATCGCAGACAAAAAGTAACTCTTACTCAAAAATTTCTCAAAATCTCTCTCAGCAGGATCATTTTCATTCGTCACCGACTCAAAATACCACTGAAAAAATAAAATTTCACGATCAATTACATACAGATCATTCTTCATATTTATCAAATGAAAAATCTTCTCATATATGGTCACTTGAAGATGAAGAATCTGATGATGAAGATTTAGTAACTAGTTTTTATAATGATGCTGCAGGCAAAAGTAATATTACAGATGCTAGTGGATACGATCAATATGGTAATCCAATTGGAAGAACTTATGATTTAGGTCGAGATGGTGCATTTAGCGAATTCAGTATTTTAATTGCACAGTTCTATATAGATTCACAATTCAATGATGCAGCTATGAAGGTACCAATTGATGCATTAAAAGTTAAAGGATTTCAAGTGAAACATGTGAAAACAGAGAATGAATGTATAACAGAAATAACCTCAAATCATCATCAAATCGCATGGATTATTAGTACAAATCAAATTCAGAACCCAGCATTCGTCTCAGCTCTAATACAATATCATTCTTCTGGTGGAGCTATTTTTTTATTTGCCGATAATACACCATACGTTTGTCATGCATCTGAATTTCTCAAAACAAAATTTGGCATAACTGTCGAAGGTAATTATTATGGTAATAAAACAATGACATACAAAGAAAATGGTCATCAGCAAACAGGGAATTTTGGCCAACATGAAATTTTTACGGGAATAGCAAATTTATTTGAGGGAATCACAATCTGTCACCCTATCTATTCAACAGCAGAAAGTCGCACGAAATTCACTACACTAGCAACAGCAACCGATGGTAATAGTAGTATTGCCGTATATGATCCACCTTCAACTTCGACAGAAGGACGATTATGTCTCGATTGTGGTTTTACTAAACTGTATATAAATTGGGATTCGGCAGGCACCGCGCGTTATATTGTTAATGCTAGTTGTTGGTTGCTTGGAATTGAAAAACGTTTGAAACAGAAGAAGAAAAGCAAAACTAAGAAATAATAATATGTAACTGATTTATTTTATATTCATTATTCGATGATTTCCATTCATGCCAATTTGTTTTTCTAATTTGAACACTTACATTATTAATTAAGATAATTTTGAAAAATAAATATTCATGACATCATATTGTTTCAATATTCTATCACCGAATGGGTGTGGCTGTGGCTGTGAGGGGTTCACGAAAAATTAAATTTATCTCGTTTTAATTTTAGTCCCTTTAGCATCCTCACTTATATTCTAAAAGGCCTAAAGGGACTAAAGTGTTACGAATATGGAAATCTTACCAGTCTCTATAGCATAAAAGTAAAACGGGATAAATTTACTTTTTCGTGGACCTATGATTGGTAATGCTCCCTCGTTGCTCTTCTCGTTCATATTTCACTTCTTTATTTCAAACAGACAAAAAAAAATAAACACAAATAAAAAACACACGCCATATGCATTTTTCGAACCATACTCTCTCTCTCTCTAATATAATGCCACATACCGATGATGACTCTGTTCTTTAAGAGGGATGAATCGAAACCGAAGAAAAGCGAAGAGAGAAAAGAAAGAATCACGAATTAATACATGGTATAATACGCAGAAGATAAAACAAAACTACGGATCACAACAAACAATACATTAACTAAAAATCTATTATAGCAGATGGCCACGGTATTGAGTAATCAGAAATTCGATTGATTGAGAATAGAAAAATACCAGAAAAGTATGTTTTTACTTGTTCAAAATGTTTATATAATGAACCTGTAGGAAAACTTTCAGCTTCCAAATCAAACAAACCATTAATTAATACATGAAAACAAAAAAAGTTCTCTAAATAAGTAATAATACTTTATTATAATGACACTTAATATGGCACGAATGAGTGTTGGTGCAAGAGTTTTTACAGAAAAATAGAATAACCTTCTTATTTAGAACAAATCGAAACTGATCGAACAATGGTAAAGAAGTAATTTCTTCTAAGAAATAGAGCTGACTTTAACCTAAGATATTGAATTTCTTTCTCAAATTCTTCGTCAATATCACTCTCAGTAATCAGTTTTTCCTGAGAATATGACGAAGATATTTGTCTAATATAACTGAGATTTAGTAAGAGATCAAAAATATCTTTCTTATCCCGCCATAGTCTATCATTATCATTATTACACGAAAAATTATCAATGATGGATAAGATATGTTGATGCACTTCTAACAAAGATACAACATCATTTTTCACAAGTCGAACTATGGGTGTGAGTGTGGGTCCTGTATTCATCCACACCCATACCCTGCATTTATCGTGTTGTCATGTGTGATATACAAATGAGAATAGCTTACAGTTGTTTAATCTTTCGAAAAGTGAATAAAAAAAAATTGATAATGTTGCTTTAATTATTCTTTTAATAGTGAACGAAAGTTTAAATCGAGGTTTTTACGACTCCCACCCTAGGTCCCAGCAACCATTGTTAACGGTCATCTCTTTCCTTTTATAGACCTTAGGGATTGAGATTAAAAGCGCTGAACAATACTAATAACAAGACTTGAGAGATGTCAGAATCTTCTTTGAAATTTAAATGACTTCACTTCTGTTTTTCAATATTCTAGATCACGCAATTTATGATACAAAAACATGAACTGATTAAGTTCTAACTTTCGGGAATAATCAATTTCAAAGATCGTTAAGATCTACTGTAGATATAACGAGTGTGTACAACCGGTTTATTTGTCCATTAAATCGATCGTTATAGACTCATAATAATAAATTATGAAAATGAAATTAAAAAGAAAAACAAAAATTTCTGTTCAAAATGTATAAATAAAAAAGATAGAGCGTTTGCTGACAATATATTATTTTTGAAAAGCCTTAGAGTTTTTTAGAGCTTTTACACTTTGTATATTTTGCGTGAGTATAACGAAACGAAATAAGAAACTATTTCTAGTACCGAATTTTGAAAATAATTGATAATGGTGTATAAAATTAGGTCTCACAATTATTAAATCACTGTGAATTGTAAAAATGTATTGCTGTGAATCAGCATTCGAAAGAAAAACTAGTCGCATAAGAAAGTAAGTGCATTATTATATTACTCGCATATGCAATAAATATCGATATATTTAGACTTGAAATGATTAAAATCACTGTATTATGATTTGTACCTGTATTGAAACGATCTTATCATACAATTATATCAGTAAAACATTTTTAATGATCTATGGGACAATGTGGTCATTCGATAAGAAATTTGATACACGGCTTTTTTATTCTCTCATATGTAGTAGTTAATTATGCATGTTAATCTTGTATCAATTATTTTAACTTCACTATTCGTGATCTTCTTAATTATATTGCTGCTCAAAAAAGAATTCGAAATGAAACTTTTCTATAGGCATTTTCTTTTATTTGATGAATCTGAATGAAACAATCAATTGTTATCAACATCTTATAAAGATATAGTAAAAATAGATAAAACTGATGAAAATTCAATGAAACGAATATTCCAGTTTATATGCATTTTAAAATAAGCTCAATGAAAAAAGGAAATATTGTCATGTTTCTTCTGACTAAAATGATAAATATTATATATTTCACAATGGAAAAATTCTCATTAAAAAAATATTATATTCGATGTTCATTCAGGTGATTTAATCTGTATTATTGAATCTGATAGATATGGAAAAGTTCGTTGTCTTTTCCAACTTACATATAATTTTACTTTTGATGGATCATTTTGTTATGTACAACAAGAATCATGTAAGTGGATTATTATTATTGAAAACTTCTTGAAAGATTACTTATTGTATTAATAGGAATAATCTCGTTATCAGTAAAAAAGGAAAATAATTATAAGTTGTTTCAACGTGTTGTCCATGGAACTACTCTTGACACAGTAAATCAATTTTCATTCTTATATGAGCGATTTCAAGCAAAACAGGACATACCTACCTCTCATTAGATTTTGATTGTTTAGAAGAAAAATTTTTCTGAATAGGTTCTTTTAGCATAGATATATACTTTATGGGTGTGAGCGTCAACTCGTCCCCATTAACACCCACACCAACCTCATATATAACACATTCAATATGTGTAGTTGGAATTCAGAATATATGAGTACATGAATTGTAGAATTCTAAATCCTGGAGGAATACATATTATACCCATATGTACGCAGCTTTGGAATGAAAATGTCTAGTCAACACGAACAAGAATAACACAAGTAAAGACGGTGGCGATGACTAATACAGTGGCATATCAATCTTCCGTGTGATTGAATGCTAATTATTTTTTGTCGTATTCATTATTCTTGGTTTATTTATTTTTGTTTATTTAGTAAATATATAAAGCAAAAGCAATTGAAGAGAGCGCGAAAAGAGACAAAACAGTCAGAGAATAAAGCAGAAAAGCAATGATTAGACGACGGATTTGCGTCGAGCGTTGGCAGTTTTAACTAATTCGTCGACTTCACTCCAACCAATTTCAATCAAACAATCGATTTGTTTGAGATTATCATAAATGCAAGCGACATATTGACGACTGACAATTGGTACTGGTGGTTTGGTCGGATTGATGAGACCACTTTCAGTTTCCTTGCTATTGAAAAATGCCGGAATACTTTCACCTGTCAATAGAATTTCAAATGAGATCATGTTCGAACTATAAACGAAATAACGAACCTAGTTGTTCATAAGAATATTGTTTCATATTTTCGTAGACACGTCCTTTCAAATTCCGAATTGAATTTGGATCAAACTTGAGAATGAAATGATCTTTGGGCGGCATTGCATGCTCTGCTGGTCCTTTTTGCACTTCACATAACGTTGCCAGAAAAGCCAATTTCGACTTTTCAATATGTTCTAAAGCCGTATCTTTACCTTTCAATATTCCCATATTGTACAAAGCGGATTGTCTGTTGTCAAATAACTTATGTATGTGACGAAGAGAAACAAAAATAATCTCAGCAGTGAATCGTTGTCGATCTTTTCTAGATATACCACACAGAACAATTCTCGTTCCATGAGTAACAACAGAATAAAAAGAAAGAAAAAATGTTGTCAGCAAACAACTGACAAGTGATATTAAAGTAACGTATCAATTCCGTCTTGTTATTATTAGATATTACTCTTCATTTGAATCCTTGTTTTTTCTCTTTAATTAGCTTTGTTGTTTGTCTAGCAATGTAATTTGTTGTCAAAAGCGATGAGTTCTATTAGATTCAATTAAACTAAACAAAACAGAATTTTAGTGTTTTTTCTGCGCTTGACCCTGATATCTCGTATAATGCTGATAAATCATGTAAGAACGCTCATCATCTCTCCCGTGATTACTTCTTCATTTATGTCATTCGTTGAATTAGATTTCATCCTTCTGAGACTAATTAGATCAATAGAGATCAAGAAAATGAGATTAATATGCGAAGAACTTTAAGGCAAATGAGTCAAAACATGATGGATCATAGGTACAACGATTAACGACACGGTATTCGACTATTGTCGACGTCGAAAGAGGTTTATCTTTAAAAATGATGAAGAACAAAGAACTTTTCAAATGAGATCTGTTTTCATATACTTTAATTGGTATTATTAATAAAATGTTTTGTACTGGTCTTCTGTTTTGATATGAAGGACGATTTTTCATAAAGATCTGTAAGAGATGCCAGTTCTACTAGCTATTATTCATCGATCAATTATATAGACATTTGTCGCATTCTGCTTGGGTAGGGTATGAGTGTGTACATAAGATACATTCATACTCTTAAAAATCTATTTTTTTTCTTCATCCCAGGTCAAAAAATCAGACGTAAGATCTTGCAGATCAGACGAAATTGTATGAAAATCATACAAAAGAAAACGCAGTCTCAGAAATCTTACATCATATCGTACTATAAGATGATTGAAAGATCTTACCATTACATAAAAGTTTCAATAATCTTATAGTCATATCTTACAGGATATCAAGATCTTTCAATCATCTTATACTGCGATATGATGTAAGATTTCTGAGACTGCGTTTTCTTTTGTACGTTTTTCATCTGATCTTACAAGACCTAATGTCTGATTTTTTGACCGGGGTAGGAATAGATTTCACCAAATTACTTGTCTCTGACTAAGAATAGCTATTTGATGAAAAAAACAAATATAATAAGAAAACCAAAAATGATACCCTAATTCAATCATATTTCTAATTCCCTCTCAGGATAAAATCATAAATATAACTGATGTTTCTCGCCTAATTTCTAGAACAAATTCAATATAAACTTTTTAAAAATTTGAAAGAGATCTTCTGATATTTTGTTAGAATCTCTATTTTCCTATATAAAGATCCAACTATGATGAAGATAAAATGATAATAGGGCTTCTAAATTCGGTCAGATTCTGAATGAAACATACAAAAAATTTGAAAGATTCCTCTATTTATCGTTGTTGATACTTGACTCCTCATTGGTATTGAAATTCGTTTTATGATCTAAAGATTTGCAAATCTTGCTTATAAATCTTAGTGGTATTCGGAAATTCAAATTCTAAATGCATTCTAAATACAAATTTGCAAACATCTAAACTGAATCCTCTTATTTCCTCTTCAAGATTCTGTAAGTGCCGATCTTGACAGTATTGTGATTATAAGAATTTGACGTGTCGTTCATATTTTCCGTTCCCAAGAAAGTAAAAAGCGAAGTTGATTTTTTTTGTCTTATCAACATTCAGGGTATAACTGTTATCAACGAAATAAATTTCTTGATTAATTATTACAGAAATCTTTTAAAAAGCGCAAAAAAATGTTGTGAAAAGAAGAAAAAAAGAATCAGGATGATGCTCTATTTGAATATTATGATCATCCATATTGTGATTTAGTCAGTAATTTCTTATTTGAAAATTCACGTGTAACGATACCATTCACTTTTTGACCTTCTTCTTTGATACAATTATATTGAAATACCATTGATGTATACCCTCGTACACTAGATTTTGACACCATATTTCCCTTTTGAGTGGTAACCGCTGCTCTTACTGGTTGATATATCCATCCAATTTGAATCATGATGCATTGTTCTTGTGTTATCTTATAATTTTTTATAAAATCTAAGTTCACTTGTGTCTTTGTAAACAAAATTTCATTTACAAGGCCAAGCCCTGCTATAGCAACTATATTAGATGATGAACCTGGATATTGTATCAGAATAGTATCTGAAATATTAGAAGGTGATAGTATAACTTTTCCTGGACTACCAGCATACTGTGTCAATTGATCATGTGTTCAGCCAAATTGAATTTGTTGAAATTGTCCAAGCGTTAATGAATTGTTGCCAGTAGTTTTCGCGAAGACAGAAGCAAACTCGAAGTCACTAGAATACTGAATAATTGACAGTATTAGCAGTGAGACGACAGACATCATTTTTACTCAGCAAATACGTAAGTTGTCGAATACGTTGACGTTATTTTTTCTCACAAACATCAAGTTTCGGCGATTACGTCATTTTTTTTTTGCTCGAATAGAACTGCACATTATAACTCATGTAGTACATATTATTTTAAGTGCTTAGATCAAACAAATCGGCCAGTAGAATTGTGCAGAAGTGTGACGAAATTGTAAGAAAATCAGAAGCAATCGTGCACACATTGATATGTTGCCAACAAACTACTACTTCTGGCAAAAACACATCTTACAATTTTTATAGGAACGTATTTTAAGGTCTGGTATTATCGATCAAGATCATATCGTATGATTTTCTCAGCTATTCGCAAGATTTCATAGGATTTCTAGCAAAACCAATCAGATGATTTATTCAGTTGGTTCTCCTATAATGACGAATAATCAGATTTAAATATTCCTCAATTCCGATAAGAACTACCCAGATAACCGAAAATTGTCCAATGGATATACGACAACTATTTTAATGACAATGCCGGAAGTTGTCACAATCTTTTTCGCAGAATTTCTGCAGGAACTCGTTGCACATCGAATCTGGTATACTTCAAATTTTCTTCAAGACTTTTCACTGTTCAAGCATTTCAACAAAACATATTTCAATGGCGCACGAAAATATCGAGTAAAGTTTATTCAAATTAGTCAAAAAAAAGTATTTAGTCAAATGATTGAATTAACGATCAATAGAGTATAAGATTTTTACTCTAAAAATAACCTATACTGCAGCGCGAGGCGAATAGATGACGCCATGAAGGAAACAGATGAGGGAATACTTTTATATTGTGATTTAACTGAGAGCATCTTGGGTGTAAACGTAGTTTTGCATGAAGAGAAACTCATACGCAGACATTCGCCAACACTCACATCCTCAATATTCTCAAACTCTACTTCCATAGCCTATTTTAATCGAAGGCGCTAGTGTATTATCAAAAATACTTGTGTAGTGCTTGTAGCAACAGACTAATCAGTTGACAGTCGCTTTTATTTTGGTTGCACTTTTGAGCCGTTAGCTATTTTTTTATCTTAATTTCACAATTCATCTCAGATTATTTTTTAAACAGTTTATTTTTATTCAAAAAAATTTTCGAAATGAATATATCTTGATTGAATAATAGTAAGTATTAATGAATGTTATTCGTAAGTAAAAATACGTATTGAAAATTTNCGAGCGTTTATGAGGCCAGATATAATAGCAAGAGAATATTTGCCCGTGTTCGCGCTTTGAAAAACAAAGTTATTGGCGTTTACACGGCCACTTTGAAAAAAACGCCATAAAACACTAAAAAAGGCTGATTTCATGGTGTTTAAACGCGTTTTCCCAAAATCTTGTCTGACTGGGTAGTACAAATAATAATATTGATATTTGTATTACTTCCAGCTTGTAAACGAAGATAATTTTGCAATTCAAGATTATGTCCTTTCCCATGTAAATTTTGTTTCGAGAAAAACGCGTCTGAGTTGCGTTTCGCTGCGTGTGAATCGCAACGGAAAAACGCAATAAACGCGTCTCCAGTGAAACAATTCTTGCGTCTAGACGCGATTTTTTTTCAACCGCGTTTAGACGCGATTTTCTCCAACCGCGTCTAGACGCAAGAAATGTTTCACTGGAGACGCGGTTCCAAACCAAGTTGCGGTTAGGCGCGATTAGAAATTAAATCGCCTCTAAACGCGTGCGATTTGATATTTAAAATTTTAAAAAAAGATTAGAATCCGTCTCAGATTTGATCTGAGTCGCCATCGATATCCTCTAAAGATGGTCTTTACCTCACTATAGGCGAACGGAATGTTGAAATGTTGATTTATCTAAAATGATAGAAATGAGATTAGAACAAGTGAACTAGTAATTTAGAAGCAAGTATACATATCATGAAGCCACATATGACCACAATCATTGTCGAATGAAACGGAAATTATATATGAATCGTGACTTCATATATATATATATTTATATATGTACAAATGCATTTATCAATAGAACGTTTTCTGCCTAAATTATACCTCATTTGTTAGTGTTAATATTCTTGTATGAAAATAAACTTGCATAGAATAAATTGCATATATTAAAATTTCTTTAAAATTTTTCAAAAATTTTCCTTTCGCAAATAATTTTCATTTATTTTGTTGTATAAGACTATTACTTATAATATTAAATACTGCCTATCGTTTAGAGCTGATTATATATTTATTTTATTTTATCAAATATCATGTACTTTTTTTCGTCTTTCTTTTTTTGTTAAATAAAAAGGTATTTAGCAAAGCTTTGCTTCAAATCACGTTAACATAAAAAGATGATTTTTAATTTCTGAAGTGTCTTCTTCTTTCAGTTTTTAGCAAATATATACATATCAGTAGAGCACTAAATGCGGAGTTTGCAAGTTTGTTTCTTATGTGCACGCGATGGATAATGTAGAGACGATGTTGCATGTCTAGGAAACGTAGAAAAGAGATTTGTCTATTAGATTTTCTATTTGGGATTGAATATCCTTTTGTGTATCTTCCTTCCGTAACAATATAAAATGAAAATAACACACATGATTCGAAATGAATTGAACACTAGTCACCCATAACACTTAAACACTAGAAGTACAATTATTTCATGACAATGTATATTTTATCCTTAAAACAAAGTTCAAATTGAGTACATGATTTATAATTTAAATTTCAAAATATTTTTTGATCAAAAAGTGAAAATAAATTTTATCTTTCGTCTTTTAGAGCAGACGTCTTGATCTATGGTTTGATGCAAAACTAGTTTATATTTATCACTAATTTTGAAAACAGTCTATGGATTAATAGAAATAGTGCTGAATAGAGAGATAGTCTCATTATACTAATGGTCACTCTTATAACTTTTTTGAAACATTAAAAAAATGAAGTTTCTAAGGAAATTCATTCGTGCTACGATAAAAACATCTTTCTCTTATACATGAAATACCTAAACCTTGAAACTAAACATTTCTTTCTATTCTCGTCATGTCGATCGGAGTACAGATAATAAAATTTTATGTATTCCTTTAAATAGGTTTTGATGAATCGCGTACAGACACAGTTTCACGTAAAATCACATACAGACCTGTGTAAACAGCTTTTATTACTCGCGTACGAACACAGTTCCATAAAAAGACGCGTTGAGATGCAGCTCAGAATTTCATCTGACTTCGTCTTGACGCGTTCTAACTCAAACCGCATCCAATCGCGTTTGAACATTTTTTTATTAAACGCGTTTTCATGCAGCCCAATAAAAACCTGAGTTCAGACGCGGACAGAAACCGATTGTAACTGCGTCCGAACGCGATTTCATTTATAACCGCGTCGAGATGCGTTTGAAAATTTTGTTCAGATGTGTATAGACGCAATTGTAAATGAAAACGCGTTCAAACGCGGTGGAAATCGATTATAACTTCGTCTGAACGCGTCTTCATTTATAATCGCGTCGAGATGCGTTCGAAAATTTTCTTCAGCTGCGTCTAGACGCACTTCTAAATGAAACTGCGTTCAGACGCAGTGAAAGTCGATTTTCACTGCATCTGAACGCAGTTTACAACAAAACCACGATTACACGCGTATATTCTGCGTCTGGTGTTTACATGGGTCACATAAAAGTTGACAAAAACGAAATAAGGATATTATAAAATCAGCATCATGTAAATTCTTTTCTCCAGCTATGCCTTCCGAACCAACACCTATATATAATAAAAGTATTTAATATAAACATAACAAAATTATTCGATTAAACATACCAAGTACTTCAGCTTTAATACAACGTTCAAATGTATCAAGATCAAGTATACTACAATTCGCCATTAATGTTGCTAATGAAGTAAAACATCCAACATCTTTTGTTTCTTTTAAATAATTTAACATTCGCTAAAATTAATTCAAAATCAATAACATAGAAAAATATGAAAATAAATATTTACTTTTTGAACTTCTCGATTACCACCATGTAGTAATGATATACCAAGTTGTAATGTACGTCGAAGCATTTCATTATTTTCACCTTAAATTTGTTTAAATTGAATAAAAATAAATAAGATTGATAAAAAAATACCTTTGCTTGCACTTATATATAATAATACAGTTTCAGCAACACCACGATTTGCTAATCGATTTTGTTCATATAGTAATGTTTGTTTTTCCATTTCTTGTTCCTTAAAATATTTAATTTTCTAATTTTTTATCAAAAATAAAAATGTATATTTTGATTATCTTACCTGAAATGATTTGACTTCTTCTGCTCCTTCATCATCATCGTCGTCAGCAATAACACAACTCTTTAAAAAAAATCAAAAAAAAAATTATATATTAATATACATAGACCACCAAATTATTCGACCAGATTTCTTGAGTAGAGAACTTTAATTTCCAACTAGAGTTAAGTGAAGCTTTTTGAAAAACTCCAAATCCCAGCTTTTCAGTTCCTAAATATATGCTTTTAGAGGAATCAACACATTAAAGCGTTATAGACCATAGTCTGGGTTGAATTCGAATGAAGATTTTCTGATTCATTTCAGTTAACAAATATCTTAGAGTACTAGAGTTTGCTCTATCATTCTGTGTAAATCAAGTAGACCTATAGCAACATATTTTCGGAGTTGAAAAACATAGTTTTAGATTTTTCAGAAATTCTGTTGTTCGAAAATACTTGTTGGAAATAAAAATGTTTTACTGAAACCTTTATTTGAATTCTTTGTAGTTTTCACGAGAGTGAAAAAGAAGTTCAATCGAATTATTTTTGAAAATTTTTTTGTTTTGGTTTAAAATATAAATCTTACTTTATTCATAATTGTCGAATAAGATAAATATACAATATTTTCAGTAATTGAAGAAACTTGTGCAGTAGTTGCAGCACGATTTAAACATTGTAATAATTGTTTTAATGGATATGATTTCATTGTTAAACTTTTAGTTTCAGTTTCTTCTTTCATCGTTGTTACATCTTGTTCATCCATTTCATAAGAATCATTCTTTAATTATTTAGAAAAAAAAAGAAAACAAACCAGACTACACAACATAACTTACCCAAAGATCTTCAATAAAACGTGCACGTATATCTTCTTCAGCTTCAAGTCATAATTTTCGATATGCACGTAAGAGCATATTTATAGCATGATGTCTTGCAACAGAATGTAATGGTGCCATAAGAAAACAAGCCATGATTGCTTTTTTACGTTATGTTGAAACAAGTTTTCGCCATGTACTACGTTTTTCTTCTGAATGACTTATACCACTATGATACGATTTTGAACCAATCTTTCGATATAATATACACCCCTGGGCAAAAGTCTTTCCCACCACCTCTTTTTCCAGCAGGAATTTCTCTACTATTGAAAAGACAAACATGGTGTTGTTCAGGCCAAATAAAAGAGAACCCGAATAACTCCTAATCGGCCCGAACAACACCATGTTTGGTCCTTATAGTAGTAGAGAAAACCTTGCCGAAAAAAGAGGTGTGGGGGGGGGGGGGAGACTTTTGCCCAGGGGTCTACTTTGATAATTATATTTATTCACTATTTCTCCCTAGGAAATTATATATATTACGAAATACACTTTGAGAAAATATGTATGAAGAATACCTGTTCTTGTGCACGAAAACTCTCGCCAAGAAATTCTTGTATGATTTCTTCTTGCTCATTCTAGAGAATAATGAAATATATATATATATGATACAGGAGAAATATTGTCACAACAAATTGTTAAATCTAAAATCAATTGTTCACTTGTTGGATTTTCAATTTTTTCATCGTGTGCAATTTTCATCCATTGAATGAAAAAAAAAATTATACAAAATATACTTCGAAAGCATATTTTTTTAATTTACAAAAACAAGTTCAGCTATCATAATGATCCATTTGTGTTAGATATAGGATCAAATATGAAAAAAAGAAAAAAGGTGCCTTAGTCTGGCATCGCTTTTTTGTCTACTAGCCCCAAAATTTAAAATTATCAATATGATTTGTTTTGTAATCGTGTCCAGAAAATCTGTCATTCAAGTTCTATTTGAAGATATTTTCAAAGTTCACGCGTATCCATTTCGATGCTTTCAACAAACTTCACTGTCTCTCTCATTATTTTTGAACAAACAGTAAACTGGGCGGGGAGACTCTCGAAAAATGGTAACTTGCTTAGGAGATTCACTTTATCTCATTTGATAGGCCTTATTAAGACATATATATCAAACCTGAAACTTGAATTCAAATATTCAATTATCTGCAACAGGTGTGAGTGCCAAGAATGGACATAACTGAATACTTGAATAGTTGAATCTCAAGTGTTCTTCAGATAAATAGTTGAAATAGCTTGTCAATAATTGAATTCAAGTTTCAAGTTTGAAACTACTGAAAAATCTGAAAAAGATGTGAGCAGTTTAGCAGGTTTTAGCGTGTTTATGAATTTAGGCTGGTGATTGGGAATATGTAGTAGCCAGTTTATGTAGCTATGGTTGTGATCAGTCGTACTCTAGCCTTATAAACACCTTCATTCACACAAACCGAAATAATCTTTTCTGAATCAAATCCGACAATCCATATTCCACACGCATTTTTCTCTTAACTTTGTTGTTTGGTAGTTCTTAATCTGATGTGCTATTTTTTTTTCTATGTGAAAGAAGTTTCTTTTAATATTATGAGGTGCGATTTTGATAATAATTTATACGAAAATCCACATGCACCCACTTCGTCAAATTCGTAGAGTTCAATGGACTGCAGAAGTATGTATATTAATTTTGTAATATAAAGTTTTTCTGGTTTGGCTATAATTTTTTTCTAGTTGCTTTTGTCTGCTGCCCTCTCTCTCGTAGTGTCAGGATGGGCAGATACACTTTTGTAGAGACTAAAGTTTTGATCTTCTTTTTATATTTTTTTAGTCAGCAATCTAAAAAGGAAATACTAGATAATAGTATTGTCTGAGTATTTTTCTGCAGCCACAATCATTTTGATAGGTGTTCTTTCTCTATGTATTGTAGTATGAAACTGAGACGCTGGTGATATTTGTATAGCTCTTCACGTGTTTTTTATGACAGAAACAAATGATACCGTTTATTACTTTCTTTCTATTGTGTTGTCAAATGGTGTGCTTCGCAAATTAAAGGTAACATTTTCATATATACTGACAAGATTTATAGTAACATCATTGATCAACCGGAGAATCTAATAAATTGAAGTATTGGGAAACCCTTACATACCATGAGCTAACTTAGATAAAAGATTTTTATAAAATTGTCAACATTAAACCTTGTTCTACCGTTAACATCACCTATTTATATTGTAAAGCTAAGAGATGAATATGAGATATCTTTTTCAAATATTTGCTTTTATATCAATAGTGAATGGAGAACTAACAACAAGCTGAAAGCAGAAGAATAAAATAATATCATTTTTTATTCTTTGTACAAGGTGAAGCAAAATCTTTCGCAAGTAGGGTACGATTTCAATGACAAATGATATAAAAATATATAATTCATAGGATAATTATAACCTATAAAATTATAGAAGTTTCTATCGAGTGTGTCATGATGAATAAGTTTCTTATTATTTCCTATTTTTCTCTTGTTCCTGGAGGATCCTAAGCACAATGCTTTGTTTAAAAGATGCGTCACAAAATACTCTAGAAAACCTGACCTAAACTTTTGTTTTTAGAACTTCAATTAAGAGAACTATGTAAACTACACGAAAGACGAAAAAACTGAAAATGTTGTTTATTCAATATTTTTTCGACTTGAACTTTTTTCTTCTGCTATTATTTCCGTAAAAAGTGAGGCAAATATGAGCACCCTGTTCTTTGTGCACTTTCGAGTATGCTTTTTCTCGTGGTCTGCAAAAAAACGTTTTAAAACAGATGGTGTGTTGAAAAATGAAGTTTCAAAAAAATTGTCCCCGTTTTCAACATTGACCCCAAGTAAAAAACCAAAACTAGTCAAAGTTCTGATTTTGTAGTTAAGTGGTGAGGAGCGATCATTTCTGATCAAAACAAAACAAATCTCGATGAAAAGAAAGCACAACTACATCCTGAATGATGCATTCGATACAAACTTCTGTAATTCTACGACTCAAAAAATTTTATGAATTGTCAATTATTCTCATTCATCCGGCTTTCGATGAACTCTCATTTGGTATATAATTCATTTTTATATCACTATTCGTTAGAGCTGTACCCTCTTGCAAAAGGTTTCACACCATTAAGTATACCACATTGTAATTGTTGCTTTTTTTTCTCCATTTTTATTGTTAATCGTATCATTTATATGAAAAGTACACGTTTTTATACGCAACTAGGAGAGATAAGAAAAAGAAGAGAGAATAAAAGAATGAGAGAAGAGTCAAGGAGAGCGAGTTGGCTCATGATACATTGTTACAATCGAAAGAAGAATAAAGTATGTGATATGAAGATATGACAAGGAAAGGTTGAACATTACGTATGAACAATACATTCAACCAAGTAATGTGATTAGATAATGGTGCACAATAAGATCCATTCATAGAAGAGTTTTTCTCTCAGAAAGGTTTTATCTGATAAATGTTTTTGACGGACAACTATGGAAAATTCTATTCATGGCTTTATTACAGTACATATTCAAAGGAATTTTTGGCAGCCGTTAATATATCTTATCGTATGTTAAAAAAACATGTTTCTCCAAATGATACTCATTCGTAAGAACATTTGGAATTACGTATGAAATCAAATTTTTACATGTTAAAACCCTTAAACTAGCATTTTTATTTGAGTTTTTGTTTCCGTTTTTTCCTACTTTGAAACTCTAAATGATATGAAAGTTAACAGACGAAAGAAAACTAAAGAATATGTAATATATTTCGCGTGTTAGATATGAATAAGCGCTCCTATCTTTTGTCAAATGTCTGAATGCGTAAATAGTCGACTTTTTCGATCCAAGCCTCATTCACTAGAAGAAAACAAGGCTACACATACATATCAAACATATGATTTTATATCTGTAGCCGCTGTGTTATACAGTCATTTTTTAAAATAGGCATTCAAGAGATCATGTCGTTATTGATATTTGGTAGTTCCGATCATCTTTCATAATGTTCTGAGATATTTATTGTAGCTTTTTGGGAAGCTACTTTTTCACTAACGATGGAACATTTCCAACTGACAAATAGTGTTTTGACTAATTTCTAGTGAGTGTATTACAAAATTATCAAATTTTCTCACTACTCTTTTAGAGTTGAGATTTTCAAGGTAAACTTCTGCTTCATGTAAAAGGTAGAGAAACACTAGAAAAATTAATCTTCATATTTCAACCTCTATTTTTTAGCCACAGCTCGAAACAATTCAGCTTTCTCAATTAAGTTTTTTTGGTATACAACTGTCGCAATTTTTCCAATCTTTGCCATGTATTTTGTATCCATGGTTTCTAGCTGCGGCTAAAATCAGACGTTAAAATGTCGAGATTAATTTTTCGGCTGTTTCTCTACTTTTTACATGAACCTTTTTCGTAGATTAGCGATTTTCTACACAGTGAGCTGAAAATGTTTTTTCTTTCAGTTGTCGAGTTTTAAATTATGGTAGAAGTTTACCTTGAAAATTCCAGCCCCTTAAAAGAGCCGCGAGAGAATTTGATAATTTTGTGATATACTAGTTATTGATCGATTCCAAATACGACCATGGGGTTTATCCATAGTCCTTCAAAGATACGATTTCCTGGAAAGTCAATCTTTCAGAAAACATTTAATGCTTTTTTCTGTAAATTCTGTAGCTTTGTAAAGAAAATTCATGTAGAGCTCGAAGATGTCTCATTTTAATCTAAAATTTGCGTGCTACAATAATACTTTGTTAAAAAAGATTTGATTCTTTTTTTAGAGTTTCTGGAAGACTGGTTGCACATCTGCTAGATTTGGGTGTGGGTGTGGGTGTGTGGGTGTGGGTGTGGGTGTGGGTGTGTGGGTGTGGGTGTGGGTGTGGGTGTGTGGGTGTGGGTGTGGGTGTGGGTGTGGGTGTGGGTGTGTGGGTGTGGATGTGTGTGTCGGCTGCGGGTGTGGGTGTGGATGTGGGTGTGAGTGTGGGTGTGGGTGTGAGTGTGGATGTGTGTGTGGTGTGTGAGTGGGTTTGGATGTGAGTGTGTGTGGGTGGGTGCGTGTTGTGTTAGTGAGTTTGGATGTGGCTTTGGATGTGGGCATGGATGTGAGTTAAGTCAACAGCTATACCCGCATCCGTACCCGCACTCACACCCACACCCACACCCACACCCACACCCAAACCCACTCACACAGCACGCACCCACACCCACACCCATACACACACTCACATCCAAACCCACTCACACACCACACACACACACACACACTTGCACCCCACACCCACACTCACACCCAAACCCACTCGCACACCACACCCCCACATCCACACGCTAGGTTGCCAACGGATGTTGTCAACATCGTTGCTGCTGCATGGCCTAATTGCATCGTATTCTCGGAGAACGTATGAAAAGGCATACTTTGTGTTGCAATCATTTTGAAAGCCATTTCTTTTTCTTTCTTCGTTTGCTTGATTGGATTCATTCGAAATGCAGCTTTTTCGCTTTCAGTTACATGGGATAAGAAGTACTGTGCATACATTAGTATCGCCGATTGCTGTTTGTTTACTTTTACTTCCATGTTGCTATTTTCAACTCTTACCTTCCTTTCTTCTTCGTCAATTGATTGATTCTGTTTGTCTGTAGCAGGCAATCTTGCTTTTCTTTTTCAACGCCATAAATTCTTTTTACTTGAATTGAATACATATTGAAGGACGAGCATTTTCAGGTTATTTTTCAAATTATTCATTCGCTTCAATGTGTTATTGGTATAGTGAGTTTGAGTGTTTCGTTCACTGATCAAACTACCGGTAACATTCTGTTACATAGCCTTCCCTAGGGCTGCACCGCTCACGCTCATGAGCGCTCATATGAGAGTGAGCGTTTTTTGTGCATCGAATGCAGAATCGTCCCTGATCACTTTTATCAACTTCATTCCTCGAAAAGAGAAATTCACTATTTTTTGAGCCTGAGGTCCCCCTCAGGTATCATGAAAAAACGTTTTTTTTCCTTCACGGATCAAAACCATATGTGCTTGTAGATTCAGGGGTGCTAATTACGAATATCATAATCAGGGCTCTCAAAACGTTTTCATTACTAAAATAATTCTAACCACTCTACGCACCTTTTTTTCAATATTGGCACCCTCACTCAAAGAATTACTATTTACTAAAATTGAGCGAAAAACATCTTTTCTCAACCAAAATTTCGAGTTCTCTACGAATCGGAACTTTTTATGCCGAAGATAGGTAAAATTTGAAAAGAAAGGATCATTCTAGTCCAGAAATTAGCGCTTAATTTTTAATATAGAGTCAAGTGTCCTAATTTTGCCGCAAGAAAATTGGCTTTGTTGTAATCTATTTATAACTACATCAAGTATAATGATGCGGAGTTAATCATAATTTTTCTAAATAGAGTGAATATTTCTGGGTCGATCTATATGTGTTTGATCACGCAATAAACGGACTCTGTTTCACAAGAGTCATAACAACATGAGTAGAGTTGGATGTTTTTCAATTTTTCGACTGTTCCTAATTATGGTGTTGGAGATATTATTTACTTCTGTATATCTCATTTTTATGTCAGACGAAATGTTTTTTCAAAGTAGAACTAGATTTTATGAAGAGAGTTGCCCTTGTTGGTAACTAAAAAATAAATCGTTAAGCCGGGGTTGTCGAGTTGCATGAACTCCTGCTACTCTGAGTACAGATCACGTTCATCTTTCCTGAAATCTTGTTGATAAAATCTAGTTCTACTCTAAAAAAACATTCTGTCTGACATAAAAATGAGATATACAGAAGTAAGTAATATCCCCAACGGCATAATGAGGAACAGTCGAAAAATTGAAAAACATTCAACTCTACTCATGTTGTTACGACTCTTATGAAACAGAGACTGCTTATTGTATGATCAGACACATAGAGATCGGCCCAGAAATATTCACTCTATGTAGAAAAATTATGATTAACTCCGTATCATTATACTTGATGTCGTTATAAATAGATTACAACAAAGCCAATTTTCTTGCGGCAAAATTAGGACACCTGACTCTATAGATTTTGTCTCGCTAACTTTTTGTGAAACCACTCATACTAAAACGTGAAATTTGGATCATAAGGTTAATTTTTCAAGTTCTATTGATTAGTAATCTTAAAAGCGGTTAAAATAGTGTGGAACATGGTTTAAATCTCACAATTCTATAGAAATAGGCGTCTTTCATTAGATTTGAGTATACATATGCTTGGCATTGAGCACGACATCGGCCTTCGTGTGACGTGAAACTCGCACTATTTATCTCATTTTCAAGCGTTATTTATCAATAATGGCGAAAATATAGAAAGGAAGGTATAGCGAAGCGAAGAGCTCAAAGTATACTCCGATTCGAACTATTTTTGTTCAATTTTGCTGAAACGGTGTAATTTTCAGCATTAAAATAATGTTGTTCGAACACGATATTCGCATTAAATGAGTTGCTTTCCATCCACTCTCGATTGGCAGTCTGAAAGACAAAGCTACAAGGGTACAGCTGGGTCAAGTATGTAAAATTTGAGAGGCTCCGTCCAGCTTTCACTACATTCATCTATCTTTTTGTGGTTTCGAACGTGAGAACAAATATACCAGCCCTTCGAATCCGCATATTACTGATTTCATTGTGACGCTCTGTCATCAGGATGCCCTACCAGAGATGTCCACAGGGCATGGTAATCCTGCCCTGCTCTGTTCTGATACAGGGCAGGATAAAAAAAAGGTTTTTCTACTCTGCTCTGTTTCATGGCAAGGTAAGGTAGCGCAGAATGCAGCGAAGGACAGGGTAAGACCTCCGTGCCCTGCAAATATGTATATTGACTTTCTGAGTTTTCATTTTTGAAAAGAATGGTTTTTTGTCCTTGTGAGTCAAAAAACGATAATAAATTGCAGACAGCGATACCAGTCGTTTAATTTTGTCTATTCTTGTAACGACAACTCACGTAGAGGGAATTTTCTACTGCTGGTTGAATCTTAAGGGTCCCCCACCTCAGAAACAATTTCTCACTTAAAATGGTCCTTTCGGGTTGAAATTTTCAGGAATGAGTGGTCCTGAAGAGATACGCATCTGGTAAAAATTTCAGTTCGATTGGTCATACTAGACCGGAGTTTCAGCTGAATCATAGGCCATTTTTGACATTCAGGAGAATCGATATAAGTTCGTCATAACACGAGGTATCGAACTCGGGCTGGTCTCAAATTAAAGCTAATGTTAGTACGCAACTTTTGTCTGAACAAAAATTTTAAATTCGATCTTATTGATTTTTTTATGACCATTTTAGTGAAAGGGTCTCAAAATCAGCATAAAAACGGGTGATCCAACGACAGTAAATTCCACTTTTCTCATCGCAGGAATCGACTTTGAAAAAACTGGTCAGACAAAAGTTTACTCTCATTGAGACCTTTAAAGCAAAAAAAATATTGGATATAGCGCGAGCCGAACGGAAGTTATTTCAATTTTCCTGATTGGAAACTATGCTCTGAGAAAAACGTTAAAGAAGTTTTAGAAATGATTTTTTTATTCAAAAGCAGGAAATAATGGTATATTAGTAATATTTATGTGGAATTTTTGAAAGCATGCAATAGATGCCGTAAGCTAGCACTGCAGGTCGTACTATATGATATAAGAATGTTTATTCCATACTGATAGAAGTAAAAAAAGTAGTCTTCCCAAGAATCATAAAAACCGGGAAAATCTCTTCGAAAACCGGGTAGTGAGGTGGAAATCTCCTACGAAAGTCTGTAAAAATTTGGCCTTTTTTTTTAAATTTATATATATTCTGAAAGAGGAAACTTCGCTGCATCTTCCTATAATAAAAACTCGACTTCGATTACTTTACCAAAAAATGGATTCTCTGAGGGGGAGGGGGACCCCCTAATTCAATGATTGATTATCCTGAAAAGCAATTATAAGCTACGAGAGATTTTTCAGCTCACGTTTTTTGTATTAGTTTAATGAGCCTAGAGAGTATATGTCAGTTCCACATTTCAGCTCCACAGGGGCTGCGCTAACANCAAGAAAAGTCCGATGATGCTGAAATACATCAAGATTTTGCTCAGTCTATTGATGATAAATCATTCATAATTCTAGGAGATCTTATTTAATCAGACTTATCAGACAGAAATATTCATCAATAATGGAATTTGTTTATTTGCTAAGAGTACTTAGTTTTATTAGAATTTCCGTTCATCCACTCACAATTAAATGAGTTCATTGATATCGGCTGAACACTTTTAAATTTGAAAGAAACAATCGATTCTTTTATTTTAATCTAACGTTTTTCTAAACGTTCAATGAACGAGATTCATTCACTTTGTTATAAATTCGTCTTGCTCTTTCGCATTGAATTTCAGTAGCAATAATATTACTTTTGAAAATCCATCATTCATTGTTTTGCTGTCTTTGAGAAAAGATCGACAAGGAAACTTGATTGATTGCAAGTTAGTTCGCACAGTTTTGGTTAAGAAAGAAGGTCAGTACTTTAAGGATGTACTGAAATTTGATTTTAAAATACATATGGCAGTATCTTTAGTCAAATCACATAATTATGCATCCTTTAAAATGACGGTGGACGGTTATTGTTAAGTAACCTATAATATATTTGAATCGAATGAAACATTTTCGATTCACTAAGATGGAAGTGACAACATTCGATACATTGCCTGACGTCGTATTGCTCGAGCTATTTTCCTATTTTTCATGCTTGGAATTATTACATTCATTCGCGTCCATCAATACCCGTATCAATATGGTTCTCTTCGGACCAGATGTAATTCGTCACGTGAATTGGCAACAATTATCTGCTCAACAACGTAATATTATCGACAATCATTTAGTATCCGTTGCATCTATAACGACTGATTCATTAATATTCGTTGAACGATTTTTAAAACTTCGGAATCTTCGTCGATTATGCCTTGTCAATACTGCACCAGGAGATCTGATGGAATTCATGTGGACTGATTGGCATTTCGCACTTGATGGTGTCAACGAGATACGTTTCATCACTACGAATAATACTGAAGCTACTTTTATAGACAGGGAAAATTTGCCTGTTCTTGTCTCCTATCTAATCGGCTACGTGCCCACTTTACATACGTTACATCTACCATCAAGTTACATCATCACTTCCTTCATGTGTCCACCTATCACTATCGCACCTCTACATACTTGTAAGTATCGTCTAGAGACATATTTGTCCCAACAGCGCAGATCTATTTGATAAAGAGGTTCTAGCATCGTTAGCTGTTTCAAGATTTCTGGCGAACTCGAAATAGAACTGTCTATTTAGGTTCATTGATGAAATGATCTTTGAGGTTTGAAGCATGCAGAAGCAGGATGATATTTGAGCTTTTTGTATTCGAATAATGACGACTTCTGAATTCATTGGATCTGTTAAACACATTTTCTTCGTGTAAGTAATTCTGTTAGAGCAAGGTTAACACAAACTAGATTTCAATCGATTCAATAGAGTCTGTCTGGATATAAACGTAGATAGGCATTCAACGTTCGTATTAACTTTTCTCGACAACGTACCTAGAACTCTGCCACCTACTCAAATAATATTCTTATGATATTATACATGTTGTTGAAAAAAAAACGAACATACCACGTGAAATATCCTTGAACAATTTATCGAAGTCGTTTTCTAAAGTCATCATTAACATCCCGTATTCGATTTCCAGTCATTAGAAATCGGTCTACCTCTTCCGTGACTCCAGAGTGTATCTTGAGATGTTGGAGATTTCTTATCTCTTACTTCTTATGTCTAGAGGTATATGATTTCGGAAAACTATGTCAAAAAAAAAATACAAAGAAAGGATCTGTTGTTGCTGGGCCTACCTGATTTTGAACTCTAACATCGAAATTCGATTGAAATAAGAAGGACTCTCTACTACTTTAGTAAGCATCACTTATTTGATGTAGAGATAATAGAAAACATGCTTCACATTTCGATCATTCTCGATCGATCTGGAGTAAGTTTGCCTTGTATTTTATATTTGTATTGAATAAAAGTTTTTTTTATCTTTAGTGACTCTAGCCATTGACGAGCTTCGCGTGCTTCTTCATGTTTTGTACAGGTTACGGTCGTGCCTTCGTCAAGTCGAAATTGATGTGCACTTCAAAAGTTCATCAATCTCGTTCATCATGAATACACAAAATAACTATACCAAACATGTCATGGATGAATTGTGACATTTAACGCTGCATAATCCTATCAACAAAGACATGAATAATCAAATTCTAAATTGGATTCGAATGTTTATTGCTCGAGATTACATGCCTGTTCTTCAAACTTTCAAGTCGGTTATAAACCAGAATCCAATGAACCATGCACAACAGACAATCAATAAGGACATATTTACTCGACCTGACCTTCGCATTGATATTCTCTAATACTCTATGTTCTGTCTATTAGTGAATTCTAAAATAATGAATAAACGTTCAAAAAATATGGATTTGTACCGGAAGATATGGCTGTGCATGATGGAGAAAAGAATATCCGCATTCATACCCACACCCACACCCTATCTCAGTGAATGTTGCCATCGATGACATCAATGCAAATCTATAAGAACAGCAAGAGATAAAAAGAATAAAATGAAAAAGCTATTTATTGATAAAGAGGTCTTGCAATAATTATTTGCACTGTTAATTTAATCGAACAGGGTGTGGATGTGGGTATGAAATGAGAGTGACTCTTTTATTTCACGTTTTCGATTCCAATTTATTTGGAATTGTCGGACAAACTAATCAAAGACATTTATGTTAACCTGATCGACTTTCTATAGACGAGATCAATGACGACTAGGCGGAAGATAATTAAGTTAACTAATGAATGAAAGTTTTTTGCTTTTTTATTTGTAAAACGGTTCTGTCCATAGATATATTTTGACTTTATATTGTCTGTTAAAAAAATAAGACAAACCGTAAAATATTCATGCTGATAAATAAAAAGATGAAAACTTCTTTCTGTTCTCTATTTCAAAGTTAAATGATTGTGGCCTTGTTATTGATTCGAACCCCATCGATGTTACACAAATAGATATTTCGAAAATCGCTTGTTTCCATGACGAAACACCAAGCTCGATCAAGTTAAACGATGGAAAGTTAAGCAAAAATGTCATTAGTCACTTAACTTTGAAATGTACAGGGTGGTAAATAATATTATTCCAGGGGGGTAACACTATGATCTCGAATCGGAGATATCATGAATTTTATACCAAATGAAAGCTCGTGAAAAATGGGGTTTAGTGATAGTAAATAGTAAGACTTTGAAGAACTTTCTTGTATTAATTTATCAAACGTTACGATTTTTATCGACATAAAATATTATAAAATCAGTTCATCGAAAAAGTTCGGGGCTANATTCTCTTCGAATAATATGAGTCATATCTATCTATCTCTCTTATTAGCGCCTATGAACATGTGTGCAATACTCTTAGTATCAACAAGCACAATTTATCTAGCGTCAAAGAATTAACTCTCGTTTTTTTTCTTCTTCACTTTAATGATAAAATAAAAAGTAAGAAGAACAGACGTGGTAGATAATGTGCATGCGATGTCTTGTTTTTCTTCACAAAGGTAACTTGTCGCACATGTTTAGCCATTTTTCATTGGATGGTTGTTGGGTTTTAAAAGAAGGAAAATAAGTTCTGAATAACTACGACAAAATATATAGGTTCTTAACGAAGTCAGCATTGTGTGTAGGTGTCATGATAAGAAAGAAAATTTTTAATGAATGTTTAGACGATGTCAGTATTTGAAATGGAAAGTAAATGCTTGTTAGTATGTTTGGTGATGTCATCAATGACCAATGAAAGTTTTTTTTCTAACTTTTTCTTTCTTATATAAGCTCGTTGACGTCAATTTTCTTTTCGTTCTTTGATTTGCTCACTTATTTTATCAACATATTCACATTCTATTGTTAATATATCAAGCTGAATTATGTCAGGTAGGAATTTAGAAAGTTTGGACCATAACATAACTAAAATGTAGTCGTTCCGATATTTAACGCTTATCAACCATCAGTAATGACGAGCGTTTCTGACAAACATAACGACATTTCTCGTTATCACATATATTTGAGAAATTATCTTTTTCCACTCAGTGGGTTTTTATCCATTAACTTCCGAGAGAATATTTCCAAGTGGTAATCTAGTTTTATGTTGATATTTTGACAGCAAGCAAATGATGATGAGTATAGCAGAAGCGTAAAGAGTCCTTCCTGTTTAGCATTCCTTGTCAAATTTGATCCATTTCACTGGAAGTTTAGCTTGCAGTGAGGAACATAGAGAAAAAAATCAAATCACGATATGATGATCTGAAGTTTTGCCCAAGCGTAGGTCTAATGACACTTAACACATAGTCGAAAACTATCAGCGGGAACCAATGAGCCCATTAGGAGAGACTACCATTGCAAAAAGAATATATATCCCACAAAAGATGGAAGAAAATCATGTTGGTTTGAGAATGCGATATCTGTTGGTGGGCTCATATATTCCGGTCGAAGGTTTTCGAATATGCTAAGTATCATTCGACCTATGTGGGAGCGAAATTTCAGGTCGAAACATTGTCATTCGATCTTTTTCTCTATGCATTCTGTTGAAACTTCAGTGAAACTAGGTCCAACTTGGCAAGAAATGGCCAATAGTACAGATTATCTTAGACCTACAGTAATCTGGTTGTCGATAGAATACCAGTATTAAACTCGATTATCTGTTGTGAATGTTTCATCGTCAGTTCTTTGTATTTTGATAATAACCATTTAAATCAAATAATATAACGAATATATTCATTTTCAGCTGTTTCAAATCCGAAAAGTGCTAAAATACTCATTTTGGATATACCAGATCTGCCAACGCAATTACTAGGAAATTTGGCGATACATTGTTCGACTATTAAGGATTTCTTGGCTACATCGATCCAATATAATGCTTTCATTCTTATTATAGCTTGTACCTCCGCAAAACTTGCTGAATTAATTCCAGTACTAACAGAAATTCCAATCGAACAAGTGTACATTCTTAATAAAGGAGACGCAATAATAGGAGCCGTTGAACCTTGGTGGAATAAGACGACTATAGTTTATAATATAAAACAATTAATGCGCCATTTGTGTACAAAAATTATGCTTTGCTATTTTAATGAAGGCATTGCGCATCGAAAAAATGGAGATTCTGGTCTAGCTAATGTTTGTATGGCTGAGTCACTTCATGTCTTAGATTGTTCTGCTCAATTCATATAATGTTTCAATTATCAGTTTATATGAAACAAAAAACATATAATATGCTTTTTTGAAACAATATTCAGATTAAGAAAATGTACTGTATCATTAAATTTTAACCAAGATGTACTTGTATATAATGAACATTGATCATAGTCTTAAAATTAATATCAGACTCTAAAGTTGACTACAAACTTATTGGATTTCCAATACGGCCACATGTCCAAGAAATGAGAAATTAGAAAGATAAGAACAATGAACTTGTCCTCTAGGTCACTGAGTTTGTAGATGCGCCACGTTTACAGCACATGCATCTTCTTTGATGAATTCCTATCTACAATAAAATTCGAGTCTTTTATTATTATTATTATTCTAGAAACAATTGGGAAGACGCCGCATGCAACTCATATTGGAGGTTTCCTAGATAATGCGATGCAATTCGCTTAAAAAAGATCTGATGAAAATTCAAAATAGTTAAGTTCTGCTAGTTTCTTTTGATACAAAACATATCTAGTAAAAGAGATTTATTTGTACACTTCTTTTCATTACATGCATAATGAAATGATGAGGCAGACAAATTGCAAAAATATTTTTATTCAAACAGTATATTTTATTATTCAAAATTCAAAATAAAATAAATATGAAAATTTGTTGCATTTCATTAACATTTTTTAAATTGTCAATGTACAATAATAAATTAGGAGAAACAAAAAAAATATTATTTTTATTTTGTAGCAGAGAAAGGGCATTAAGAAAACAAAAATTTTTAACATTGTATAAATACTGTGGATGTGACATGGTGCATGGATCAATGCATGATTTTGTTTTTCAGATGGAGAATAAACAAACTTGCATTCATATTTTATCTGAATAATTTTTCTTCGAAACAGTGGCATCGTAATAGATAACGAGTTCATACTTATGAAAAAAACAAAAAAAAATCTTTTACTCATACGTTGTGTATTATGACAGTTACGATTCATTTAGTATAACAAATTGGCTGAGTATTCTCAAAAAAGTACAAATTGAGAAGTGAGTTCAATGAAAGATGTCAAGTTTATAATGGACCTTGTTTTTGAACACATTGGTTCGAACATTACAGAATAACGTAAAAAAAAAATTAGTTTTCATGAAGGAAAAATAGTCCTTCCTTCAAAAACCTTGTCTACGCTTTTCTTAAACAAACTAAATGTTTTAAAAACTGAAATGATATCTGAAAATAAAAAGAATTCTCTCAAAAGTCTTACAATGCTGACATGTTTTTATGTATATTTCTGACATAATTTTTGTCGCTATCATTTCAAAAACTTACGATTTCAAGATTGAACTCAGCTTTCAATGGAACTATAACTATGAAATTAATTAATTGCATGCTTGCTTCTACGTAGTTACAGATTATGATTCAGTATGACTTAAAAATAACACTGTTAGCTCCATCTCAAACATATTTGCAAGTGAAAAACTTGCTTACGGTGTATTGTATATATATATATTGGTCAAATAAATAATTAAATGAGAAATTTAGCTATGATAAATTAATATGACCTAACTAACTAAAACATATTGATTAATTATTTCATGACGGACGTATATATATTCTTTCGTATATGATAATTAGTATAAGTACGACCGATATGATATTCGTTGTGTATTGAAATTTCTGAATGATCAAAACTATAGAAGTGAATTTAAAAATGAATTAAGCAGTGGTCATGATGTATTGTATAACTCATATAATTTGGATAGACGCAGTGAACAATAAAAACTGATAAAACAAGTTTTCGTTATGTTCTATGCGAAATTCGTTAGTATTTCTATATCTCTTTCACAAGTATCATATCTTTTAACAAAAACATTCTGATTCTCTTTTGAAATTTTTTTCATAAAATTTAATTATTGAAACGAGTTTTTACGAGCATAATCGACTTAATTACTGAATCTTGTTAATAAACTAATGAGTAAACTTGAATCATAGAATTGTCTTGTATGTAATCGTTATAATACTCTCTATTTTCACTGAAGAACATTCCCCAAAATGAACCTCATCGAATTCATTCATGATTGGCAACGAATCTGAATTCAATATATTCAATTCTGTATTAAGTAACGAGTTCGTTACCAAGTCAACTGGTTATAATAAGTAAGATTCACAAGCAAGCGGTTTGGTAATCATTCGAGTTGGTAAGTAACTGACTTGATAATGATCTAATTACTGAAAATAAAATGTTTTAGACATGATCAATCATATTTTGTCTAAATCTTTTCGATTATGAAAGCAACCATTCGGTAACATTGAAATCAGCAAACATCATCTTTCAAGAACTTCATTTTCAGTGAAAATTAATCTTCGGCAAAACACACCTTTGACAAAAATGTTTTTTTTTCTACAAAAATGCACTAGTTATTCGTTATTCATAAAGAACTTGTATGAACTTATCTTTGAGACGATACTCTACCCATAGTGAAGTTCGAATAAATACACTAAAAGTTATGTTTTGGTGCATACTTCTATTCTAAAGATGTAACACCAAAGTTTGTTTTATATGAAAAGCGACGTAAAAAAGAAAATATTCACAATGAATACAAATGGTATTTTGTGACACTTTCTTTGCTTTCCTGTTTTCTGTAGTGCAGTCAGTCATTTAATGCATTTAAAAGAAAAAACAACTGTTATCTATCAAAAACTATCCATCTGATATTGAAAACATATATTCAGTGATGACTAGAATGATTTATAGAGGCTTATTAGACTTGAGGGTGTGGGTGTGCGTGAATGTAGGGTGAGTATGCCTGTTGGTATGGGTTTACAGAAAGACCATATCCACAATCTAATTATTAGTTGGTTTTAACCGTATATGGAATGAGGAGAGCGATTTCAACTCATACATAGTCATGTTAGTGTAGTGGTTATCACACCTATTTAACAAACAGAAAGGGGTAGGTTCAATTCCTGCACAGGACACTTATATTCTTTTTTTACGTTGAAACGATTTAAAGAAATCGATTTTATCTGTAGAATGTAATTCGGGAATAATTACCACAGGGATATCAATAGCTTGGTGATCAAAGTCTACTGAATCGTATGTTAAACAGTAGAGATTGGCTTGAAATCTAAATCCAATATCCCTCTTTCTGCAATCATACTCTTAATCTTTTCATATACTTGACGGTATCTATAAAAGTCATGTTTGAAAACTTTCATTTTCTAAAAGTAAATCGCGAATTCTATGTATTACTCATGAGAAAACGTCATTGAAATGATTTTTTGTAACATTTCGTTAAATTGATCTGTGTTTTGATATTCAAGTTTTATTCGAGTTATACTTTGAATGTCATGATCACTTGTTTTGATTTACGTCCGATTCATCTACCAATGAAGAAATTAAATATCACTGCTTCTTGTTGACTCAAAGAAGCAAAACGGATGTGCCAGATAAATAATAACATTTAATCATCTTTTTTACGAGAGACGAAATCAGGATCCTCACAGTAAAAATGATTACTAAAACTTGTTTGCGTATTGCATCGAACCCAACCGCTTGGGTTTGATCTTGACTGGGATCATTTTCGGTCAATTTATAAAAGGAAACAAAAGTCAGCCACAAGAGAATTTCAGGCTTATCTATAGTAGATCTATACACACATGAATATTAATGATTCAAAAGCCAAAGGTTTGTAGACACACTCAAAAAAGTCACCAACGTGTAGAAATACTCGAATTCAAACCTGAACTTAACTGAACCTTAGGATGCTTCTATGATTGTTCATATACCTTAAGAAACAATTGGACAACTACTAAAATACCCGACATTGTCTGAATTGATTGGATAGTTTCCGAACTCGAATTATTCGTCTTCAACACCAAGTCAGAGTTCGTGTTCGGTGCACAACTACACTTCGGTAAATTATTTAGAACATCCATAGCATCTTTATGAATACAAACATTAACGTAAAATTTGGAAGAAATATCAAAGTATGAATGAGAACTCTTATTTCTGCCTGTCCTCGATGGTGTCTCAAGCATTTTCTTTCATACTGGCATCGAAAATGTCACAGCTTAATCTTCTATACACTTTACCTGATATTTACTTGTGTTTTTTGCAAGCTGGAGAAAAACCCTAACGAGAGAAAACAATATACGCCATTCTCCGCTTACTTATTGCACTTATTCTGCGCAAATATAATCAATCGTTCGATTGTCTGTCCTATGCTGACACGCCAAGTTTCTGCGAAAGAAAGAGGAAAGAGAACGTATGCGTCTCAATCAATGTTGGTTTGCTCTTTGCCAATAAGTTGCGAACGACAAAAAAACATGCTGTATCCTTTTCGGCTCATAGAGAGGCGAATTATAGTGTGTAGTACGACCTTTCTAAATAGAGAAAATGTGACGAAAAAGGGTTGTGTATCATGCCTAGATTCTTCACAGAGAATGTGCAGATCTTGTGACGAAAGTCGAACAAAAAACAAGGAGTATTCATGCACAATATGAATGATAAGACACATTTTTCGCCTACGACGATCCGAGGAGAAGTAATAACGTTATGACTGATTCCATGAGCTGCGCTTTTGCATTATGATGATACTTTATATCATACAATGTATCTAGCAGTCATAAATAGATGAAAGCAAAGTTACACTGAGATGTGTTGTTAGCTTCAATTTTTCTTTCGAGTGAATGAGTGGGCGAATGTCTTCTCTTCATCAAACTTCTTTTGAGAATTTTATTGACTATTGGATATGATTGTTACTGTAACGCTCAGATCTTGATCAGTCAGATCAGGCGTTATTTTATTGATTCGTGTTTCACGAGGGTATGCATGTAGATGTGCATGGCAATTTAAGGTATTTTCTCAATATCATACTCACACTCTACATGTATCTGCGCTACTAAAGCTCCAAGCTCTAATTTCAATGTTATTCATGGAAGACTAATAAAAATTCGAGAGAACAAAATTTTTAACAAGAATTGACATCAAATTCATGATACTCTTGACACTAAAATATAATATAAATGAGTAAGG